CCCCCCCCCCCATTCAATTGGTCCATCATGACTTCGTCTGATCTGGACGATATGTTACAAGCGCCAGACGCTACAGTCCGTGCCATTCTACGAGCTCTCTGCCAAGATAGTGGCACCCGATCCCGTGCGCTCAGTTACTTCGAGAGTCTGGAAGCTATCAATAATTCTTCCGAGACACGCAAACGCAAGGCGGAAGATGAGCTTAGCATCTGTGTCCAATGCGACGAGGCCTTTTACACAAACGACAACAATGATAAAGAGGCTTGCTGCTACCATTGGGGTGAGGAATCAACGCCTTCAGTGCAGAAACACCAGAGCTGACATGCACGTTACAGGGGAGCTTGAGGTTGACTATGATGCCGACATTTGGGCAGACCACGACGAGAACTGTCACGGGACCATAGACACAGATTCAATGCGTGCAGGATACCCTGAAGGATTTGTTTGGACTTGCTGTGATAAACCAGGCGACGAAGCTGGCTGTACCTGGGGGCGGCATGAAGCTGATCCAACTAAATCAAGGAGAGAGTCGGGCGAAGAGCCAATTGATAGTGACGATTATGAGGACGGGGATGACATTTAGGCAGTAAGGACCACAATGACTCCCAAATTCTAATTCATCAAAAGACTTTTAAGTTCACTCTTTATGGTGATCGTCGATTTGGGAGAATCTGGAAAGTTGAGATCATATCTCTACCCCTGCGTATCATCACCCTGACACTAATAAAACAAGCTCCCAACTACCCCAACTTCAAGACGTCACTTGACTTACACCAAACACTTACTCACTCACTCAGTTCAACTCACCTCACACTAGAACAAGAAATGGTCCATCTCGCACCAGAGCAACACGTCCGCGCAATCCTCCTCGCCCTTCTCGACGACCGCTCCGTCAAAGCCCGCGCCCTAAACCACTACCGCGCCCTCAAAGCCGCTGACAATCCAGTGACCGGCCTCAAGCGCAAAGCCATGAACGACTTGTTTGTCTGTGTTCAGTGTGACCAGGCGTTTACGCACGAAGATAACACTGAGACGTCGTGTCGTTACCATCCAGGTACGTCAACAAGCCCCTACTCTTCTGTGTGCATGTTTGTTGGGATGAGGCTGATGACGTTAGGGGAACTTGAAGTTGACGACACAGAGGATTTCTGGGCGGATCATGATGAGGATTGTCATGGGGAGATTGATACGCCTGAGATGAGAGAGGAGATGCCTGATGGATTCCGATGGACATGTTGCGACAAATTAGGTGGACGAAAAGGTTGTACCAAGGGAAAACATCAAGCTGATCCGGCAAAGTCGCAGAGAGGTGGAAATGTCCCGTCTGGCGGTGACCTGAGGAAGAACAATGGCGAACATTTACCTGTTTCAGATGAGGACAGTGAAGAGGAAGAAGAAGACGACGAGGAATATTGATTCAATCCAATTGTATAATTCGAAAATAAATCTACATCTCTAACATCCAAGCAAGTATATCTTCAGTCTTAAAACCGTGTCATTCAATACGTAAACGAGATCCCCAAACTCCCAACCTATGGATGATTGATATTGCACAACGCGATATTGCCACAACATCTCCTCACGAAATGAACAAAGATACACACAGAGAGAGATTATAAATACCAAGAGACAAGAGCCCTGCTGAATCATACATAGCCCCTGGCCTTTGACAAATATTACATGGCATAAAATGTTGCAGATAGTCTTGAGTCCTAAAATGACCCGGGCTGTATCGTTAGCCGTGCCAATCACCCGGTACTCCTTGCGCCTGAATGCACTTCAAATAATCTGTTTCCTCCTCTGCCATGCCGAATAAATGTGCCCCCGTGACGATATCTGGTGTCACTATCATCCTCCGTCTTTCCAAGAACAAAAGTCAATGTGAAACTGTCACACCCCAGGCCCGTGGTCTTTAAGTCATCTATGTTGTTCAAACATAAAAGGAAGCTCTGAAGAGTGCCGCCGCAGAGGTGTTGGTCTTGGCGACACTGTACCATCGAGGCTAAAACGCTTGGGTGTTGTTGTTCCTGAACCATCGGCTGAGTCTATATCATTGGGCTCCTATACCCCCATGACAGGAACCTTCTTGTTTCGCTTGCCCAGAAGGGTAGCGTTGTCCAGGTTGAGCTCGAATGCTCCTCGCTGGCGATTGCGCTCACGGACCTGCTGTCGAGCGGCCGCGGCGACTGTTGCCGAATGTTGGCCGTAACCTCTTTCAGCACGCTCCCGCTCACGACCCCGAGATTGTTGCTGTTGCTCTTGATCTCGGATGTTGGCCTTTCGCATACTTTGCTCAAGGGCCTGAGTCGCTGCGTTAGGCTTGGCAGCGGTGTTATCTTGACCATCGATCTGCATGACATCATCGTCTTCATCTTCCTCGTTGAGGCCTCCGAGGAAGCGCGCTGGTGTGCCCTTGGGGCCGATCTGCGCTCTTCGCTTGCCCTCTTCCTCCTGACGATGAACAGCATAACCGACATCAAAGACCTCACGCAGGTTCACAGCGCCAGGAGATCGGAAGTCGTATCGCTTGCCAGACTCTTCGAATTTCGTAGCATCAAAGGCCCGGAGCATGCCATCAGACTTCTTCATCTCATCTCGAGGAGTAGGTCCGTTTCCGGCGATCCATGGGTGAGCGAGGAACTCGGTAATCGTAAATCGCTTCTCAGGATCCACAGTCAAGAGATGGCTGATAAGATCCTGGGCAGACTTTGAGATCTCGTCCCACCATGGCGACAAGAAAGTGTACTGGCCCTTGGCGACTTTTTCAGTAAGCACCTCGATACTCTCATCATAGAATGGTGGGAAACCGCAAAGCAGAGTGTATAGCACACATCCTAGAGCCCACATATCGACTGACTTGGAGTATCGCTCGTCCTTTACGATCTCGGGTGCTGTGTAGCCAACAGTTCCACAGGGCGTCATGGTCTGGTTATCCCAGACAATCTTGGAGAGACCGAAATCGGCGATCTTGATGCGACCAATACCACCGGCACCTTGGCCGGGAATGAACTCGCCCTCGTCAACCTTGTCCTCATCGCCAGGCTGTTTGGGTTTCGGGTGCTTAGAAGGCACCATAGGAATGGGCTCAAACAGAATGTTCTCGGGCTTGATGTCACTGGTAGGGATGTTAGTGATGATTCCAAGGCCGTGCAGAGGCGAATGACGTCAGGAGGGGCATCACCACTTCTGACATCAAGCGGCCCAAAAAGAGTCATGACATACCGATGAACAACACCCTTCTCCTCGTGGAGATATTCAAGAGCCTTGGCCACCTGAACAATGACGTGTCGGGAAAGCTCCTCGCTGAAATATGTCAAGCGGACAATCTGGTGGAAAAGTTCACCACCTGGGGCAAGCTCCAGAATGATGTAATAATATTGCCTCGATTCGGAGAATTCGACGAGCTTAATAATATTGGGGTGGTCGAGTTGGCGCATAATCTGGACCTCCTTCAAGATATTTGATCGCTGCAGGAGTGTCAGTATTCTGCCTCGCATGTCCTCGAGTCTAAAGGCTGGCTATCCCCGCCATCAAGACAGCAGGAACTGACTTCAGACGGGGACAGCGTTGGCCCAGACATAGGAAAGAAATAGTAACGTAAGGAGAATCTTCTCGCACCTCTGCTGCCTTCGGGACTTTCTTGAAGTCTGGATGTAAATGCTTATTGCCCTATGAAAGGGGACAACCCCGTGTTGGTAAATGGGGACCCAAAGAAAGAGAAAGCGGACGAATGAAAACCACAAGAAACATCATAACAAAAGGAGATAGGGTGACAGATACAGACGACCCCGGTGTTTGCTTACCTGCATACTGTTCATCTCGTACTTGCGTACTACTTTGATAGCGACCTCGCCTTGCTGACCTGTTGTGTCGCGGGCGCGGTAAACATTGCTGAAGGCACCATCACCCATCTTGTCGACGAGTTCCCAGCGCTCGAGGCCGGGGTAACGAGGGAATTTGCTCTTGCTGGCATTCTCCTCGGCAATAAGCTTGGCGAGCTTCTCATCGTCGACGCGCTTCTTGCTCTTGCTGCGTGCGTAATCGTCATCGCCATATTCGTTTCCGGGCTCTTGTGCCCGTGCGTAGTGGGTGTTACTGGGGTCTGATGCTGTCTTGTGCTGGACTGTGGGCGCCTGCTGCTGTTCTGTCTTGCGTGGAGCCTCTTCAGGAGCAGCGGCACGAGCTTGCTTGCCTAAGCAACCATTGTCAGCGACTGATAAAAACGGGCCAAACTTGGCAGAATAGTGGGTTAGAACATGCCGTGCCGGATAAAGTTCTTGAGTTGCTGAATGGTAGACATGGCTGGAGAAATTGTCGCTTAGGCGCGACAGTCGCCTGTGAGAGAAAAGGTCGTGAGGCCTTGGGCCAACTTTGGTAGCAAGTAATGGGCGATTGGACGTCTTTGAGAGCAGTAGTTGCTTCTAATGTGTAGTGCAACCAAAAACGGGTTTCGCTGATCTAGCCTAGAGCTATTCCGTCTTGGAGTCGTAGCGAGTCGTGATCGTAAACGTGAGCTTTGTTTGGTGTGTCGCAAAGCGCGGGCAATATTATCATAAAAGACGAAATGGGATAGATTTCTTGACGGAAGCAGGAAAACAGGGTTGGACTGCTCTGTGGACGATGCGGGGTTTAGCAGGTCTACTCTAGCGGACGGGAGCGTTTCTTGTTTGACGTTTGATGTGAGGGTGTCGTAGAAAGTCGAGCAGTGAAGAGATGAGTAAGGGTTAACGTTGTGAGTCGAAAAGTGACACAGATGTTGGAGGATGGAGAAGAAAGAGAAAAGAGAAGTCGTCCCAAGGGAAGAAACCAGGAAAAGGAAATCGATTGGGATAAAACTGCCTTGCGCTGGTTGCTTGTTTTTGTTCGAGGCAATGCAAGGCAAGGTCAGGTATGGTAAGGTAGAGCCTGGTTTCTTTTTGACGGGGGGAGGACCGAGATTTGAGAGGTGACGAAACGGAAAGGGTGGGCAGCCCACTTGGAGTGGCAGCCCAGATTTTTAGCAGGATTCTAGGCCAACGCCAGGCGGATCGAGTGGGGATGGGGGGCGTTCCCAGCGGGAAACCTTGGAAGACACAGGGGTTTGTAGTCAATTCAGTGAGGAAATTGGCGGGAGTCGAGGAGCTGTGGTCTGGGGAGTGAGGTCACTGAGTGAACAAGAGAGGTCAATCTCGGAGACTATTGCCCTGAATGTACTGTATGCATGATTACAGCTGAAACAGAGTACTTGTAAGACGCTGGCGAGTGAAGGTGAATGACGATGGCTGTCAAAGCTAAATAGACAACGAGGTAAATACAGTCCAGTCCAGTCCAGTCAGTCAGTAGTGGTGATAGCGGGGTATCCAATGAAGAGACTCGCTGTGACGTTGACAACTTCAGCTCGTAAACAAAAATCACGAGACGAGAGAAAGAAAAGAAAATAAACAGTCAAGATGTTGAGTTAAGGATAGAGCCTCATATTGACATAAAACGTGCCGACTAGACTCTATTCGAAGTCGTGGGCGTGTATTGTAGACAGACACAAGATGAAGTCACCCAAAGCGTCAATCAGTACCAAAGTCCCCGCGATATCGTCACAGCCGCCGGAGTACTGATGCATCCCGTCCGTCACTGACTGCAATACAAAGATACAAAGCTGCCTGTGTCTCCCCCTAACGGAATGACACAAATCACCGCAGGCAGAGAGCAGAAGTGAGAGAAGGGGTCCAGGTGCACACCCACGCAGCGATGATGATGATGATGATGATGGCATCACCTCTCTCACCCATGCTCCGCGCTAGGGTGCCATGCCATGCTATGCATGTGCTTCGTCGCTTGTTAGTGGCATCATCGGTTTACCTTATCATTTACGCATATCTCGAGGCTAATACCTCATACCTACATCCATCGTTTCTTTTTTTTGGAAAAAAAGGGAAAAAATCCATCATGACTACAGCAACGATTCGATAGACAATCTATGCATTGGAGATAATTATTGCTTGTACGTAAATGGTGCTCCTGGCGAGATCTCCGCCCTATGACGCTGGTGACGACATCACGCTCTCTGAGAGTGGATATCTGAAGCTGCCAGCGCCCAATTAGAGGATCTAGAGCCCTGCGATGTCTTGGCTTGGTGGCGGCTGTTCCAGTGGGTTGGCTGCTGAGAATGAAATCACAGCAAGCTGGAGCTTCACTCACTGCAAGGTTCCCCAGGCCGGAATCATTCATCAACGGATGGAGTTTAATCTCGTACAAGAGATGAGTTTCTCGTGATGGTCTGACTGAATTCGAAACCGTCTATTTATTGAGTTTGATCGATAACTCGAGCCTCCACCTCCAGAGTCACTCACTCCACAAACTGATGTTCGTGTCCATCGTACTGTAACACTATTTCACATCATTACTTTTTCCTTTGCATATCCGTCGTATCACCTCAGGGCAGATCTGTTCCTCAACGAGTCAGAGAAAGCCACCTATATCGCAATACTTATTCTCCCTCAGCTGGATTGCTTCACTTTTGACAAGAATGGAAAATGTTGATCCGAGATGTTGATCATGACGATACTGCACCTGATACTGTACAACCACTCAATTTCATCCACCGTCTATTATTATCTCTTGTCTTCCATCTAGACAAATGCAGCCAGTCTCAAAACAGGCTTTTAAATTCGACCTGGACTGGGCTGGCTGCTGACAGTACAACACCACTCGGACGTTACTTGGCTTTATGCTATGTTACCTGCTGGCCTGGTCTGGATCTCTATTTCAGACCCTGGCTGCATATTACCAACATGCCAAGGCTGCTCATATTCCCTCTTGATTGGATTTCCTCAGAACCCAACGTCTTCCCAGGGCTTATAGCTCACCTGTTAATGGGAACATATGCTCCGTATTGAAAAGCAAAAAAACTCATCACAAAATTCGATGAAACAGCATGGACAATGCTGGTTATCCCTCATCCGTCCCTGGTTTGTACAGTATGGGCTTAGCTTATCCGGGCTGTAAGAAGCTCTGTGCGAGGGTCTAGACCACGATAGTCAGGGATTCATGGTGTTGTCAGTAGGCACACCGATGGGACGCCCGAAACGTCTCTGGGCCATGTGCTCTAGCCTTTCTCATAAGCGCCGTGACGCGGCGGTGAGTTCTGATAATTATTTCCGCTGCCTAAATGAAGCTCGTGAGGTCATTACGCGGCTAGCAGCATTACTGATATCATCCAGCTTAAACTCTCATGATGGTGGTGTCTCAGCTATACTGACCAGGGGTTTCGAGACTGCTACAGAAACCCTGATTTGGTGCTTGTTGGTTGGATGCCGTTCCTGGAACTTTGTCTCCATCAGGATCTCGGCACTTGGAGACAAGCGATTTTGACTTCAGATCCTAGGGGAGGTAAGAAAACTTGGGACCTTGACCCTGAGTGACAGAAAGACTTAGGTAAGCTGTCATGATTTTAGGAGGGCTTTTGCAAAGTTTATTTTGTCATTTGGAATGAAAGTCCTAAGTTTTCTTAGTCCAAGGAGAGACCCTGTCTCTTGGTACCGATGAACAAATTACTGGTTCTTGAATCTTCTTTCTTCAACAGATTGACTCATTGAGATATGATTCAGCTGGGTAGCATTGGAGTTCATCGTGCGAGAACCACTCATTATTCCCTGGTGTAAGAACCGAAACATCGTCATCACGCAATATGAACAGACTCGACCTTTGAATTCATTGAATAGTTCATAACATAACATATCATGAAGAACATGTCTTCCTACAACTTATAGCATCGATAAGGCACTGCGCGACTTTCGGCATATTCTCTCAACTGCCGATTCTTCCAACCATAGAACATCCTCAGACCCAGGGCCACAACTGACACAAACAGCAACAGAGCCGCATTGACCCAGTGCCCTGTCGTGAATCCTCCTTCTCGCTGTGAGGTCTGGTAGATCCAAACACCAGGGATCTGTCCAATTCCCCCGCCGAGACTAACGTTGAGGGCAATGGCAAGACCGGTAGAGGCCGTCGTAAACACATTGGAGCTGAGCCATCCCAGCATGGGTGGCATGCATGCAAAGGAGCCAGCCGTTGCCATTATTAAACCTCCGTAGCGGGCTGCATAGGCGTCGGCCGGGAGCGCAGCCGATATAATGAAGCCAATAGCGCCCACGGCTGCAGCTATGGCCGTGTGAATGCCTCGGGCGTTGAAATGGTCCGCCGACCAAGCCACCAAAACCTGGCAGACTGTTGTGCACGGTCAGTTTTGCTAACTTCTTAAAGCCAAGAAAGCAGGCTCAACTTACCATAAGCAATGGCCCACGGAGGCACCGTCATCAACTGTGCTTTCAAGTCGAAATATCCCAAACCAACGGTGATTGAGGGCGCAAACAAACTCAAACTCGCGAATGCCGGGCCAGACGCAAAGTAAATTGCATAATGCGCATACAATCGCCAGTCCATCAGGGTTTCCTTGGCTTCTGCCCAGTTCATCGTCGGATGCGATTCCTTAGAACCCTCATAGTACAATCGATGAATAGCCATATCCTTCTCTGCTTCAGATAACCATTTTGCCCGCTCCGGATAATCGGGTAGGAAGAAGAGAACCAGGAAGGCGGCTAGGCAAGACGGGATGCCCTCAATGATGAAGAGCCAGCGCCAGCCAGAGAGACCAGCTGTGCCGTTCATGTGGCCGATGCCATAGGCAATTGCGCCGCCAAATGCGCCGGCGAGAGTGGCAGATGCGAGGATGAATGCGACGCTGAAGGTTCGAAGTTAGCACCTCGACCGCTGGGCCACGACAGCTGGTAAAGCCTGGACACGGAAAGACTTACCGAACACTGCGCTCATCATGCTTGTACCAAAATGTCAAGTAGTATACCAACCCAGGAAACAACCCAGCTTCGAAAACACCCAGTAGGAATCGCACAGCTGTAACACTGCCGAAGTTGTTGGTGGCAGCCGTCAATATCGTCATTGCACCCCAGCAAAACATGAGAAAAGCGAGCCAACGGCTGGGTCGCAATTTCTTGAGTAGCATGTTACTTGGAACTTCGAACACCGCATAGGATACGAGGAAGACCATGAGGGAGATAACGAATTGGTGGTCGGTCATGTTGGTCTCGCGCTGCATATCGTTGTTGGTCGACGAATTGAGGATCATGGCGTTTCCGATATTCGTTCGATCGAGGAAGGATAGGAAATAGATGGCGCCTGATAGTGGGATGATGCGTAGGTCTTGTTTCCAGAGAAGACCCTTCTCGAGGGGGCTCATAGCGTCGCCATAGTGAACGTGGGCGTCCTAGGAGACGTAATGTTAGTATTTGCGACGTTGGTGGCATGCGCACAAGTTGCGCAGAGGGTGAGGAGGGTATTTACAACGTCTTTTCCGAGAGTCGAATCGACATCGTCAACGGCGGCCGGAGGAGGGAACGGCACGGGAATGGGGACCTTTTCCATTTCCACGTCGCTCGACATCCGGCCTGTGGCTACTCAGTGGCCGTGATGCGACGAGATGGAAGAAGATGGTGTTTGTTTTTCGATGTCGTCGATGGAACGGTTCGAGAAGAGTTGAGATCGGCAGGAGGGGGCGAATAGATGATCGGTTCGTTTTCCGTCTTGTGACACCGTCAAGAGCCGAGGGTGGTTTGTTTGTGGTTGTTGCTATCGAGATAAGATATGGACTGGACAAAAGAAAAGAAAAGAGATGAGAGATGAGAGATAAACGCCAAGAATGATCAAGACCGGGTTACGGACGGATATATATGGATGAATGTATATATCTCAGACCTAGACCCAGACCCTGGACCCCCCAGGGAAGAAGGAGATGAGCTGGATGTAATAAAGGGAACTGAGGCGGAGCGAGGCGCCTTCCCAGTGATTGGAGTCAATCGGATCGGAAGTAATGCAGAAGTGGGTGGGTAAGTTGGTTTAAGGTAGAGGAAGTGTACCAATGGATTGAGTTTAAATTTTCTGGGCGTTTTGCACTCTTGACTCTTTTTGGGTTGGCAATTGTACACGACCTGGAAATAAGAGACGAGGAGGGAGTACAAGCTCAAGCACAAGCAATGAGCACGAGACACTCTTGGTCTTGTCTTGTTCTTGGTATTGGTCTTGGGAGCCAACAGAAGACAAGCAACAAAATGCGGGGGGGGGGGGAGACTTTGACTTTTAAACAAGCTTCGCTTCCAGATGCAGATGCAGATGCAGCTGCGGATTCTCTCACATTCTGACACTCACTGACTGAATCTATTCAATGCATCCATCCGCTACCCTCGCTCGCTCGCTCGGCAAAACGAGAGGATCCACCGCCCGCCGATCAGATCACCACTCGGACTGCTCCAATGACTCGCAGTGGCGCCATGAATGGGGTACTCTTTGACTCTTGTTTGAAGATGTTATCTTGAGCAAAGAATGCACCTTTCCTTCACTAGTTAACCTTGTACGCATCCCGTATTAATGCGCTGTGCTGTCCTGTAAGCTCACCTTTTCCGGCCTGAACAACTCATCACTCTCACTAAGCAGCACAGCACAGCACAACACGACACTCTCATCTTCAAACGGTTACACCCGTCACTCTTCCCCGTAACTGCAACTGTAGCTGTAACAGTGAATTCAATGCAAATGCCCCAAGGTAACTCTACCAGCGCTCATCGCGGGAATACAAACGATATTCTGTCCTTTTTTCGCTTCTGTCTCCCCACTCTTTATGATCTTCACTCGTATATCCGAGCTGATGGTCCAGTCCAACAAGGTGAAATTCTAAATCCAAGGCAAACGAAAAACTTGAAGCATATGAAAGAAAAGTCTTATCAAAACAGGCGGAGGCTCCGCTTCGGCAATCCTACTCTAACCCTTCAGTACGTAAACTGTGACTGTGACACCAAAGACCACCCCAAGCCAAGCGGGGGCATAGGACAGGGAATAATTGAACAAGAGGTGCCCAATGCGTGATGAATTCTCAATTTTCAACAGTAGCCGCCATAATGGCCCGATTATACAAAACTTTTCTTTCATAATTTGCGTCTGTATCCTTACCAATCACTCAATTTCTGTTTCTCATAGTCTCAAATTTTCGCTTGACGGCCCTTTTCTCTGTGTTCCACAGCTCCGAGTTGCTCTCCCAAAGAGGCAGATTCTTCGGCTCCGGGCCGGCCGGTCGATGGCCCGATGCCGGAGTGCTTCTGTCCTGGGGGGACAGCTTAGACGTGAAGATCATTTGCTTGTTCGCAAATCACAGTAAGCCGTGTTGTCCTATTAGAGCCTGTAATTCCTAGATAGGTATCCCGAAGAAGAAACAGGTCACGAATTGAGTCTGCGCCATGCAACCCAACGCACGGCACATCCTCTCCAACGTCGCGAATCTTGGTAAAGGATGTCCGGCCTCGGGTTTGTGTTGTATCCAGCTGATCAATTGATATTGAGTATCTTCCAGTATCTGACTAAACCATCGGCAAGATGTTTACAAAGCCCGAGATCCCTGATGCCTGACATGATCAACCAGTCTGTCACCAATGTTGCATCAGCCAATTCGACTTCAGGTCACTTGACTGTTGAAGCTGCATGATGACGTTCATTCGAAATAACTGATAAAACTATGCCTTTAATTCCGTACATCCGGAACTAATTCTCCTCCGTTTCTTCCTCTGAGCGCCACAGGAACCATGCGATGACCATGCAGAGCTTTAGCCCTGCGGCGATCCATAAGGCTCCCGCAATGCCGACAGAGCTTTGCGCAGACAACCCGCCGGCTATCACACCGACAAGTAGTAGCGTCGGCGCAGCTGCTCGCTGATTCCTCGACACGTTGTCCAATGCGAACAGCTCTTTGTCGGAGAATAAGTCGCAATACACACTTGTCAGGACCAGGCTGATAAGAGCGTTCTGCTTCAGAGCTCGACTTGCTACAGCTTGTCCACAGCTCTGGAAGGCCATGAGAGCGATTGGCACTAGTACATTCCATGCCAGGCTATCCGTGTTCGGGCCAGGCGGTCGCAAGGTGACGATCAACGCAGCTGCGCTTGTGAGAAGGGCCTGGATTGTGAAAGATGCACAGAGAACCCAGCGACGTCTAGGAGATACAAGCCGATGGAAGCGAGCAAATAGGAAAGAGCCGAGACAGAAAGATGCAATAGACAGAGCGGATTTGTATAGACGAGGGCCAGGAGTCGATGTCGCGAAGCTTGCCAGCCCGAGACCGACATATACAGTGTTTCCTGGTTCCTGTTAGCCATCGATCTTCTTAGTCGTTGCTATAAGTTACTGACCTGTCTGCATAGACACGAATGTTCCCCAGACCTGGATAGAGGAGCTGTCGAGAAGTCCAGTTACGACATAACAGGCCAGTAACACGGCATCGGCCCACGAACAAGAGACATCATGTTGTAAACGCTCCTTCCAAGACTTCTTCTGGGGTCTAGAGAGTGACGATCCCAATAGTGGTGTTTCCTCGTCTCTCACAACGGTGTTGCGAACACCACGATCTACCGCCCTTACCATGACGCCGACGACGGCGTACTTGTCGCCTGTCCCTTAAGTAAACGTCTCGAACTGTCAATTAGAGTCAAGCTATCAGAGTGATAGGCTTAATTGAGTGAAATAACTATGGTTGAGGAAGAAGTTTGAGAGGAAGCGAAGTTGAAAGAAAGATTTGGTGCTAAAGACCCCTATGACGCCAGCCGCGCCAAACGATATCCACTTACGGTTCCAAGAAAACCGCCGAGATGATCCCAACTGTCGGTTACAACAGTGGATTTAACGGCCGATGGGACGTTAAAGAGCCATATCAGTCAATTGCCGATATTATTTACGCGAAATGGGAATTTCAGTCGAGGTCTTTTTACTATTCTTGTAAGTCAAATTTGCTGCGTCGTTGGTCATAAAATCCCGTCTAAGACGATGACGGCATCACCGAGAGTAGTTGATTAAACCAAAGTTAAACAAATCCAGCTCGGTTTTCTCAACGCAATGTGGAAGATTCCGAAGTTTGATAACAATGACATTCGATGTTAGATCCGCACATTTTTAAACTTCAAGCTGTGCAGAGATAGTCATTCACATCCATGATTAACAAGTAGCTCTCTAGACAACTCTTGTCTCCTATTCACATTCTAGATTTCGAGCATCATGTCTTACAATTCCAAGTATTCATGTCAAGTATAAACAAAGCCTCCATAGCGTATCTTGTATATGACACGCGGGCTGTTAAAGGTAAAGTACTATATACAAGAACGAATAATTGTCAGGCACACAGGCGATTTCATGTACTGCTAATGAACCAGCCACTAGTATCCAGGGGCAGCAGTAGCAGTAACATAGACAGTCTGGGTAACGGTCTTAGCTACACACTCCTTCTTGGAAAAGGGGGAGCTGGGGCGGCGAGTATGAGTGCGGGTTCGAGTGCGAGTGCGGCGGCCAGAAGACTTGTTAGCCTTGGTGGGTGCCTGAGTGGTAACTGGGGAGTTCCCGGAGGCTTCCTCATTGCAGTCATCTTCACCATCGGCGGAGGTGGGGATAGTCTCAACAGGGGCAGCAACAGGGGCGTTACCGGACTCTTGCTCATCACAATCGTCCTCGCCGTCGGTGGGCTTGGACGCGGTAGGAGCGGCCTTGGTAGGAGCCTCAGTGGTAGCAGGCTCGTTGTCACCATCCACAGGTGCAGCGGGGGCAGACGGCTTGATGACAACTGAGGAAGGCTTCTCAGCAGCAGCAGCAGACGAAGTGACCTCAGTTGGTGCGGAGAGAACATCAGTCACAGAGTCAGGGACTGTAGCGAAAGAGGGACGAGGCGCACCCTCAGGGACGTCAGACTCAGCAGAGGAAACCTCAGCACCAGCAGCAGCCTCGGCAGTAGAAGGCTTAGCAGCACCAGCATTAGGAGTCTTGGTAGCAGCAGGTTGAGCGACAGCAGTAGAAGCCTTGGTAGTAGATCCAGAGCCGGATCCAGAGCCACTGCCGTTGGAGATACAAGCGAAAGAGATCTTCTTGACATCAGCAGCTTGGGTAGGACCACTGAGAGACCAAGCCATGTTGACATAGGGCCAGCAGATACGGCCATCAGACATAGTGACCATGTCACCAGCAACGTAGGTATCCTCAGAGGTGATGGCAGAGCCAAGCTTCTTGCCCTTGCTGTCGACAGCCTGGAACTTGGTACCAGCAAACTTGCCCTTGCAGCCCATGGCCTCGAACTCGCAGACGGGGTTGGAGATCTCCTCCCAGGTAACAAGAGCAGTGGAAGCATCGAAGGTAGCAACGTGAGCGTTGGAGCAGTCGTTGGCACCATCAGTCACCCAGTTGACTTGGCTGTCACCATCCTTGGCGCCAACCTTGGAGGAAGCCTGCTCGCCAATAAGTGTCTTCTTGTCAGAGAACAGAGCAATGGCAACGTTGCGGTTGTTGGTACGGTTCTCAGCGTGAGTGTAGCCCTCACCCATCCAGTCGTTGAGAGTAAGATCGATAGCACCACGGGAAACCCAGGAGAAGATGTAAGAGTCAGCACCAATGAAGCGAGCGAGAGAGCTGTAAGAGCCACTCATTCCACCCATGGGCTCGTTACTAGCACCGTTGATGACGTGCTCGTTGGAGACCTTGACACCGTTGTTGCTCATGCCCTGAGTCTCGGTGTTCAACCAGATAGCACCCTGGTCTTCGGAGCAAAGTGAAGCGAAAGGGGGCTCATCGGCGGCTTCGAAGGCAATACCGGTGTTATGGGAGCAGCCCCATGAAGAAGAAGCGCCCTGGATCTCCTCAACCTTACCCTCAGGGGTGATGTAGCGGATGGCATCACCAAAGTGACCGGAAGCATCGCCACTGTAAGAGGTGACAACGATGTAGGCGGCATAGTAGCCAGCCTTCTCGGAGAAGACGAGATCACCGTTGATGTCAGGAGAAGCCAGAGCATTTCCTGAGAAGCCAGAGCCTCCAAGGAGAGTTCGGAAAGCCTGCTTGCCATTGGTGTACTTGTAGATCACAGGAAGAGGATCCTTGGACTCTCCAGAAACAACCTCGTTGGTCAGGATAGCGAAACCATCGTTGTGGGCAACGAGACCACCGGCCTCCTTACCGTTCTTGACAGTAACAGGAGTTCCAACAGCAGCAAAGGTCTTGGGGTCAACACCCTGGATGTGGACACCGGTACCACTGGCATCGAGGTAAGCCAGGAAAGCAGTCTTTCCATCAGGAGAGACGGCAAAGGGAGTTCGGCGATGATGGGGAAGACCAGTCCAGTAAGCTTCCTTGACGGGGTTGAAAGAGGCACCCAAGGTGAGGGTATCGACGTGGTTCTCGAGCGAGGAGGAGGTGAGTTGGGCAGCAGCCAGCGCCAGGCCGGCAGCGAAAGTGAGAAGACGAGACATTGTGATGCTGGCTTAGAGGTCAAGCAAGGAACGAATGTATTCGGTTGGAATAGTGTACGAAAAAGAACGTATGTAGTCAGAATGGTAATGAATGAATAGAGCAAAAGAATGTAAAGAGGACTAGACCCCAGGTCAGTTATCCAAGCCAGCAGTGAGTGAAGCTATCGTCTCTCTGTCTTCCATTCAAGCTGGAGAGCAGCATCTCTTATAAGTTAAAAAGCCGAACCCATGCTATCCTACCCCAACGCAATGAACCAAGCTAACCATGTTTGAAGACGAGCTGAGAGCGGTGGAAAAACTCCAGAACTATCTGCCCGTGTGATGACCACTCATAGATGGTGAATGGATGGTGGAACATCAAACAGGCACCGATTGAGGGGTCATCAAGCACAGACTTTGTGTTTCAAACCCCTGGTGAAGAAGCTAGTGTCGAGGAAACCTTTCCTAAAGTTGCTGGATTTGGGAATAAAGCTCCTAATGAATCCTTGCCAGGTCTCGTGTCTCATTAGGTTGGTGAAACTCCGGATGTAAAGTGAAAGGGTTGTGGTCGTTTGTCTTATCTGATGGCCATGACGATCTTCGGCAGTTGTCAGCCTTGTGAGAGACAGCTCAATCAACACTGACAACAAGTTAGATGAGTACATGACTATTGCCTGGGTGACTTGATGTCCATTGAGCCTTGTAAAGCATCAGGAGGGTTGTATCACAGGAGACAATGCCTGTTGTCGAAAGCTGACATGCTGGAAGACAGTGTTTGAAGACCCGAGGGAAGTCGAAGCTATACGCGGACTCAGGTGTCATCCTTGCTCCTTCGCCCGTTTCTCGGAATCTGCCATGGACGTTGTGTCCTTTCCTCGCCTAGCCTTATTAACAAGCGGCACAGCTCCAGTATTTCCCATCACCATGGTTTCAGAATTCAAGAAATGTGAGAACAGCCGATAGTGGGTAGATCTGATAGAAACTCCCCGAGAGAGAAGCAAAAGGATCGTCACGAATGGACAGCAAAACAGATGAAAGACATGATACAGGGGTGATTGACTAGTGATTTATTCCCGGGCGCCTATCACTGACTTGCATTGCATTACATTGCATTCTGTACCCTAAGGTAAGACAAGACAGTTGTCAGAACTACCTTAGCGCCCGACGTGACATTTTGTTAGTCAAGGCCTCCGAGAGTGTGCAACGGATGCTTCGGCCTCGGGCGTTACGCAGGGGGTTAACGGGTAATATTAAACATCCGATGCGAGATGGTCTTTGAAGGAATGGAAATTGGCAGATGGATCCATTTGATATGTATCATGGGTCGAGAACTGAGGCCGCCAAATATTAATACCCGTCGATAGAACTATTTATTACTAGCGAGGGGTCTATTTTGGGACTGCCGAGGTTGAGGATTTCATTCTAGAACATCATCATCAATCTCTAATGATGGATCCATATATCACAAGCTTCTGTTTCCTTTGATCAGTGAATCAGTGGGTTGATTGTAAGAATATGGGTATTGAGTGAAAATATCTAGGCCTCACGTGCTGTAGTCTCCCCTAAAGCACCCCTGAACATCGGGCGTCTGCAGATAAAGACTAGACCTAGTTCGGCGACTCGCCTCAAGCCCCCCCGCGTTGTTATTGATTCTCTTCTCGTATCGTGCATGATGAGAAAACGAGGCTGAGCCCATTCATTCCAATCCCATCGTTCAATAGGGGCACTTTCACTAAGGTATAGAGTCATCATCAACTAAGTTACCTTTACTTACACATTCTCATTCTCGCACTCATTTATTTCTCTCATTTATTCTTCACAGCCTAAACACGACATCTTCTTATCTCTTCTGTAACGTCATCGTCAGCATCAGTTTCTGCCCTGAGCTGGGCATCGGCTCACTTGCATCATCAACATGATGCTCAAGTATCTCACCAAGCCTACGAGGAAGAACATTTCTGATGCTCTTCTCATCTTGGGTGTAATTGGCAGTGTTATTTCAGTCATTTTGGCGTCCATTGTGTTTATTGCCGGTACCACCATTATTCGTGGTGATCCTGATCATCTTCTATGGAAGCCATTAGCCTTGGTCTCGGTAAGTTCACCCATAATCACTCACTTCTCATATTCTCGATATTTCGAGACTTCGAGATATAAATTCACTTTTCCGGATCTTCCGACTGACAAATCACCAGTTTGAAGGCATTATTCCCAACAATGATACCTCTCATTTCTTGGTGCACCTAAACTGGTTCGCCAGTTCCTTCGGATGGGAACATCCCACAGCCCCCAAGGGTCTTCCAAAAGTTGGAATCACATCCTCGGGACTACGATATCACTCAAATATCGTTAATGATCTTAACCAAATTGCCACTGAACTTCGACTACCAGAAGACACCTTCAACTGCCCCAAGCCGGGCCCGTATGAAGATCCATGTGGCAACATCTTCTTTGAAGCTTGGCGAAGCTACATGGCCAGCGGTGGACTTCCGATCAGTAGCTGGATCGTCTGGGTCAATATCTATGTCGCTCTGGTATTCAGCATTATGGACATTCTCCGAGAGTGGGTTATTCCCAACAGACCTCACTGGATGAAGTGTCGCTGCATCATCGGCAAGCGATGGTGTCCTCTTCCCAAGGGCAGCAAGGAGGAAATCGAGCAGTTCGACGACTACGTATGGGACAAGGTCCGGCTCACCTACTGGGCCATTTCGGCTGCTTACTTCGGCATCGCTGCCGGTCACACATGTCTTAACTCAGTTTTCTTTGTTCGTTACCTGGGGTATTTCGAGGAGCGTTTACCAGACGGTATCAGCATGCACGGAAGACGACGCCTGGCTTCTGAGATCTTGCTCTGGGTCGCTTTTGGCATCAAGACCTTTGGTGCATTGTGCATGGCTGTGAGGTGGAAGCTGAGCAGAAGGCCAAAGGGCTGGATGGACGGACAGAGCCTCGGTCGCCTTGAGAGGTCCAAGCCAAACGGTGCAGATGGAGGAAAATACACAGATTAGGGTGACAGTGATATAAAGCGAGAATGTATTATACTTGATAATTGGCGATAATAGATTGCTCCGGCAAAAGCGTTTGGTTTGAATCTGATGTTCATGAACCTCGTCTTGACTCAAATGAGAAGGCCCGGATTTGTCATATGAAATGCACCCCGCAGACAGCAAGGTCCACCCAAACACCCTAGCAGTGGTTGGTTAGTTCGCAGAAAGATACAACTACCGCCGTTAGGTGCTGCTTTAGCTTGGACTCTATCTTGAGGCGGGGAAGTTGATTGATTGTTGATTCACTGACTTGCGGGACCGGGAGAGAGCCGGTTCACTCTGGCCGGCCGGCTCATATAAATGAAGACCGAGTGAATAACTGACAGGAAGTCAGGCATGGCAATACTATAACTCTCATAATCAAACAAATCATTGACTTCGTTGCATTCAATCATCAAGCACAAATAAGCATAATGCTCACATCAAAGTCTTTCCGTACAGCACCTCTAAAGCGAGTTATCTCCAGGCAGGCCTCACTTTCATTCAGCAGCTCAGCCTCTAGATCCCGTATTATCCTCCCCTCTCAGAAACTCACAACCAAACTTTTTTCAAAAGTCCAACCTTCTCTTCGATCCGCATCCTTCGCAACAAGCTCCGAAGCTTCGGCTTCAACGCCCGAGGAGCCAGTCAACCAGAACTTTGCAGCTGTTGCAACAGGCGGTATCCCATATCCCGGAATTCCCAAGATCGAGGACCCTTATCAAAAGCGACAATGGCAATTGGAACATATGGCTGGTGCCTTTCGCGTGTTTGCCCGTATGGGATTCACTGAGGGTGCTGCGGGACATATCAGTGTGAGAGATCCTGTTGATCCTAACACATTTTGGATTAACCCGTGAGTCTTATTTTCCCCTTGGGTGAATTTCACGTTAACAAGATCAGTATGGGTGTTCATTTCGGAATGCTTGAGGCAGGCCATATGGTTCACATCAACGAAGACGGCCAAGTCATTGGCGGTAACCGAGTCGCCGTCAACGCAGCTGGTTTTACAATTCATGCTGCTATTCATAAAGCCAGACCAGATGTAGACGCTGCATGCCACGCTCACTCTAAATATGGCAAGGCTTGGTCAACATTCGGGAAGCCCCTTGAGATGATCAGTCAAGATGCTTGCATCTTCTACAACGACCACAGCGTGTACTCCGACTTTGGAGGTGTTGTCTTTGAAGACGATGAGGGTGCTCGCATTGCCAAAGCACTCGGTCCGAAGAACCGATCGGTCATTCTGCAGAACCATGGGCTGTTGACGGCCGGTAAAACAGTTGATGAAGCGGCGTATTTGTTCTCCCTCATGGAGAGGACATGTGAGATACAGCTGTTGGTGGAGAGTGCTGGATTGCCGAGGCTGATTATTGGTAAAGAAGAGGCTGAGTACACCTATCGATACAATGCTGATCCTGTGAGTTGCCGTTCTATGGAAGAAATTACAAACAGTTGACTGACATGGTGAATAGGAGGCGTTGTATACTGAATTCCAGCCTGATTTCGAATACGAGGTTTGGAAGTCTAATGGTAAGCTAAAATCGGGTGTTAACTGAAGTAGGATACCCTGGTGATGGTGCTTTAAAATGAGAAGCGTTAGCATGAATGATCATTTCAGAATCCCTTGTCGTCAAGCTCTTAAGATGCGGCTTTCGTGTAATTCGCATTAGCTTGTTAGACCAGTCTTCCTCATGACAGAATGTCTCTTTTCAGTTATCCCAATAATCCGTCACACCCTACAGCAACGTCTTTCTCCACCACTTCTCTTCCTCCTCAAGCCACAGCCTCACGTTCTTCGGCTGCCCAAATCCATGACCTTCTTCTGGTACAACGATAAGCTCAACCTCGCCCCCTGCCTTCTTAATAGCATTGGCCATCTCTTGTGCCTGGTCCAGCGGCGTGATCTTATCGCTACCTCCGTGCAAGAGCAGCAACGGGGCTGTGATTTTATGAGCCTCGAACAAGGGGCTCCTCTCATGGCAGATTCTGTCCTTTTCGCTCTTATCTACCCCTTTCTGCAACACTAGGTGATCTGTGTAGTCTGATTCCAACTTGTGGGTTGAGTCATCCAGGCGTTTGATGTCGCTTACACCTGAGAGACATACACCACCAGCGAAGGTGCTCGGGTGACGGGTTAAGCTTCGAAGGGTGTTGTAACCTCCTGCACTTACACCAGTGATTCCTACTCCACCAAATTTCACCACTCCCTTGGACGTCAAATTATCTGCGAATTCCGCAGCGTCGTCTGAGTCCACTAAGCCCCAGTTTCCCCAGAGAGCTTCACGATATTCACGCCCATGAGCGCATGAGCCTTTGTAGTTGAAAGCAAGAACTGCATATCCTCTCGAGGTGAAATATTGTGTTCTCGGGTCAAGACCAGGGCCGGTGTAAGATGTTGGCCCTCCGTGACTTGTCATGATCAGAGGAGGTAGATCTCCTTCCGGAGCCTGGAAGTCAGGATTGTGCGGGAGCCACAGGAATCCATACAACTCTCTTTCGGGTTGGCCCTTTGAGCGGATTGTCTTCAAGATAGGCTTGGAGCAGAATTCTCTAGGAAGCCCATCGTCTGTGGACCCTCGGACTTGGGTGATCTGACCTGAGCCTTCAGTGTCAATTCGATAGAGCGCTTTAGCATTAGTCTCTCCGGACCCAACAACAAGAACCGAAGTATTGCTCAAGCGTGCAACTGCGTCTAGCTGGACTTCCGCCAGTCTCTGAGAATCGCCGATATCTTTCCACCTTCCCGACTCTAGATCGATGAGAATCACCCTAGATTTCCCCAGAATGAAGGGAGACGCGACAAGATGTCGATCAGACAAAGGTGCATACGTGTGGCTATATTCGTTCAGCGGGATTATCATGGTGACTTCGGGGTTCTTACCTTCCCTGGAACCATCGAAGTCCTCCAAACTCCGCATTGGCGATACCATTGACTCTGATCTCAACATGCTCATCACTTCCGGGAAGAATACGGAACAAGCGACGATACTCTCCGACCTCCTTACCAAAGAAGAGGGATCCATCGGGGCCCCATCTAGGTTCTGCGACGCCCTCACGATCCTTTCCTACAATCAGGCTAATATCTGAGATGGTCCCATCGTTCCATGCCGCAGTATACAACCGCGCAGAGTCAAAGGGCAGTTCAGGATGATTCCACTCCAGCCACGCAAGCTTTGAACCATCCGGGCTGAAAGATGGCTCATAGTAGAAGTCAGCAGTGTCAAGTATCCGCTTTACCTCGGCTGTTTCAGTGTTGATTGCCACGATGTAGTTGCGAACTCCATCAGGAGTGTCATGCTCATGGTCTTCCTGGTTGGCCAGAACCCATGGCGACGTCAAGTTTGCTTCAAAGTTTGAGTATCTCAGTTCGGAGTGGCCAGTCAGTTTGTCAACTTCCTTGCTGTCTGGGTTTAATATGTGAACTGTATCACCCTTGTTGGAGAAGATGATACGATCATCTGGAAGAACGGCGTATGTTGAACCGCCATACTCATACACACTATTCTCGGCACTGTACTCGGATGGAAGAAGATCTTTGATACTGTCTTTCAGAATCTCAACAATAGTTGTGCTTCCATCTTCGCGGCTTTCCGTGTAGAAAGCTCTACCAGATTTGGGCTGTACATGTCAACGGCTGCTGAGATCATCAAGTGTCAGAATGCTTACATTGGCTCTAGGTGAGGCAAGTCTTCTCGTCTTAGATACAATTGAATCTACCGAGATTGGTGATTCCCAGTCCCCGTAAGGAGCAGTCTTCTTGGTGGTGGTGGTGGTGGACATGGTGGTTGTTGATGTTCAAGTTTGGTTACAAAGTGCGGGGTGACAGAGAACACAAGTGTAAGATGCGCCCTGCAGCAGTTAATGGACAGCAGTCTCAATCCAAACAGGTATCTATCTGCATAAGGGACTTTTGTTCTAAATAAAACAAGCTCGATTGGTCATTTACTGAGACACATGCTACGGTGGTTGGGAAGTTGCTAAGAGAGGCGGAGCGAATTCGCGCTATAATCAGTTTGAAGGTGAGAAGCATAGCTCACCACCCACCTTGATGAACAGCGCCAACCATGGCATGTTACATCTCATACCAGAAACGCCTAAAGCATTTCAATTCATTTCTCTGATAAATATATCAAGACTGCCTTTAGATCGTGTATTGTTCACTCTGGTTGCCGCTCATGAAAGCATGGTGATAAGTTAATATGACTGAGATTTTCCATCCCTCCAACACCTACAGAACATCATCATTGAGCGGATAATTCAAAGATGGCCCTCAAGATCAAGTCAGACTTCTCAATTTAAACAAAGTTCAAGGGAGTTAATGGGGCAGTCAATGGTCTTGGTTGTATCTTCATAAGAAAATCAACGATTCACACACACGCCGGGCAATGTCACTAGGAGAGAGATATTTAGCAAGCTGCGAGATGGAGTTCATTTTATAAGAATCCTTTTCATATATTATTCTATTTCATCATTCCAAGGGGCTCATATTGAGTTGATATACAAGTCAAACAACATACATTACACCACTTCTAATAAGCATCATGATTCATAAACTTACACTCGGGAATTAACATGAGATAGCATAGAATAAAGACCCCAAACTCCTTGGTGTAACAGTAAATCAACAACCATGAGATAACTCATCTATTGTAACGTACCTCTCTATCGTACACCCTCACAACTTACCATGCCGTTACAGCAAACTTCCTGTGGCGTCCCTGGCAGCCGGCCGCCAGGAACAGCATGCAGGTACGCTTCGATCCCGATCAACAATCGCCGACAATCCCATCGCGAACAAGCTTCGTGTACGTCATTAGCCCACGTGGTAGTATATATCACTCTTCAAATGGTCTGTGCCTCGTGATGGTTGCGCCGTCGCATGTCAACACCAAAGCCACATGACCCACGTGTCGTGATACGGGTAAAACGGTCACGTCAAATGCTGCAGGTACATCAGGCGCAGGAACGTACTCACTTGGATGTTCTAAAAGCAGGGCATTTTCACTTGAAAATGACCACCAGAGCCTCTTTATCAAGGCAGTGTATAAGAGTGACCATGTCGCAAGCGACTGTGGAGAGAAGTGATTAAGAAAGGATTAAAGTCATCAGATACAGGTATCTATCGCTTGCGTCAAATATATACAAAGCACCCTGCCTCCCCAAACGCTAATCAAGCCGTTTCCTAAACGTCGGCCTTTTCCTTTGCTCATGCATCGGTTTCTGAATTTTGCTCATAGACTCCTCAGGACTTCGGCGGATGTCCTTCAGACTTGAGCCTTCTCGGCGGTAGGGGTGATGGCTTCGTGGAGAGGGGGAGGGTGAACGACGAGGAGAAGGTATTCTCCATGCCGCAACGGACTTGTACTCAATATAGCAGGGCGCGATAGACTCCTGTCGGGGAGTCGGTGTGTCATCGAAATTTGGGGTATCGTCATAGAAATCGCAACCGTCGCTAGCATCTTCAGGAAATTGAGTAGTAGGAAAATCGTCCTCCTCCTCTAGATCATCCTCATACTTGTCATTAGATTGTTCCCCATCATCCATTACGTCCAGTGACGACTGGCTCTCTGCGCAATCAGAATCCGAGGCGACCGCAAAGTCGCCGTCATCGAACTGCGAGGTCTCATCTTCGTCGTGAACGAGTGATCTGGTCAAGTCAGAGATAGCAGCAGCTGTCTCGGAACCAGAAAATGACATGGAACGTGAAGGGGGGGTGGAGTATTCGTGCGACTCCATGGAAGTAGGAGAGGAAACAGAAGACTCATCGCCGTGCGCTGCCTCGGAATGGGGGGGCGAGGGGGGCGCTTGAACAACAGACGATGATCGAATGTCCGTATGAATCGAGAGGGGACCCTTTGTCAAGATAGGCTCATCATCAAAGAAACTAGAGGCATCATCGACGCTGCTGGCCGTGGTGCTCTCGGTCTTGACGCTGTTGGTCTCGGAGAAGGAGGACAAGGAAGCAATAGAAATAGCATCATGATCACGATCGTTGTGATCGAGAAATTGTTCGGGTAGGTAGCTTGCAAAATAACGGACGATCGAGTCGAAAGACTTGGTCCGGAAGAGTTGAAGGGCGTACTGCCAATGTTCAGAATCCATCAACTTGGGGTTGGCGATGATCTCAACAGCGAGAGATTCGAGAGACTCGTGGAGTTCGTGAATCCGCTGTTGCTTTCGCTCATCCAGCAAGCGGTGGAAATCGTCGACGGTATCGGCATCGCGGGAAATTTCGTAAACGTCGTGATGAAAGGCTTCGGGGTCTTGGAGGTTAAAGGTAAAGGTGTTGTATTTTTCGTGGAGTGTATGAAAGAGGTCATCCCTCTTCATGCCGAATTTCCAGGCCGGCCATGACCAGCCCGGATCGTCCATGTCGAGGTCACAGTCGGTAGAAGTAGATAAATTATGGTGGTGGAATGGTTGTGGTATAGAAGAGAGTGTCCAGTAAGAGTGTCCAGGTATCCGTGGGTCGAGAGCTCGTGGGAGCTGCGGAATCTATTTCATAGCCATGGCGTCAAAATCCTCAAAGGTGCTCAGAAGTCAAAAATGAAGACTACTCTGAACTGATGTGTAAGAAGCGTGTTTGTTGGGCTCTTCTGGGACTCTTCGGGCGGGTTTGGATTTTGGTTATGGGTGATGATCGTGAGTGTTTTGGAGGCGGGCGTGACGAGAAACAGAATTCGGCAGGTTCTGGGGGGCAAGAGCCATACCCATATCTCAGGGTGCGCTTGGCCCCCAGCAACCCAAAGACCACGAGTGCGGCCTGAGATGCCTGAGGCATGTATGACTACGGGCTACGATTGGCTGCCATTCCTTCGAAGACGGAGACACGAGACGCGCCTGCATAAATAGTGTCCAATGATGATCTTTTCTCAGCGGTAAGTGGGGCCACCTCATGCAATCTCTTGAACTAGGCAAAGCTAGTTGCATGGTGGCGTCCATTGGGGGCCATTTGCAGCCCACCCTTTGATGCTCCTTTCGTGCAATTGCGGCAGATTTTGTTTGGGCAGTTCCGACGCCGGCCGCTTCCAATCGATTCCATCATTAATGAAGGATTCACACAAACACAAAACACCAAGCACGACGATATTCAATATTACAATGATTTCTATAAACTCATAAACCCTTTTACAATTTCATGATGTAGTCTTCTCAGCAATGACTGGCATTGATGGCTGTTGAGGTATTGGCCACGTAAACACTCTTTGACCAAGTTAACCTGTCACGAGGACTGTCATCAGAGGCAACTTCCATTTTAGTCTCAAGTCATGATCACTCACCGAAACTCATTATGAGACAACAACTGACCTCTGCAAAAAATGTCTTTGGTGCCTAATATCGTGACAAACTCACGTTATCTCGTAAAATCTATCTTCTGCTTTATATAGCCTGCTTTTCCCCAAATCTCGATGGATACTCAGTCATGCTGAAATCGGTCTGCTTAATATCAGCTTCAGTGTCGTCATAGTAAGATCCGCTGAGCCATGTAAGATGCCAGATGGTTCTATGCTCGCCTTTTGGTTGACAACGTGCAGCCGAAGGGCTCATCAGCAATTAATTCGAGTGAATTATCCATCATCCTTCTTGTCATTTGTACGAACTATTGGATCTCATAGTGACCAGAGATCTATGAGGACATCTCCTATGGATAATATCATCTGGCCGTCGGGGTAATTATCTCGACATCCCAGGAAGTCAGTCCTAGGTGAGATGACTTTGCACAGCCACAAAGCGTTGGGTTGTGGCAGAGAGTGTGGCAGTGAATGGTGTCCTCAACCGTGTCAAGTCAAATCTGCCTTGTCAAGCCCAGCCCTACCCGTTTGATCCAGTCCTACACTCCACACACGCCAAAAGCTCCCTCCCAAGCCAACAAGCGTAAGCGCAGAATAGGACGGTCAGGACAGTGCCAGTGCCAGTGCTCAGTGGCATTCGCTTCGTACCGTCTCGTCCCGCCCGCTCCCGCTTCTTTCTATCCTTTCTTGAGTAGAATGAATCGCCCTCGTTCTCCGTTTTTGGATCATCCCCTCAGCCTTCAGGCAGCGAATAACTAAATCGCTGTATGACTCGACCCCGATTCAGTCTTGTTCCTCGTGGAGTCTGAGACGAGACTATACGCTATCAGCAGGCCTGTCCCTGAACCTGTCCTGACCTGGGCTGAAAGTTGTCTTTTCAACCCTCCCAGAAGATCACGCCCATCGTGTCCTGTCCTTCTGATGTGCCCTGTTCATCCTCTTAAAACAGGGCTCGTTGAGGGTCAAATTTACTACTGATCTTGGCTTTTGTTTCTGTTCCTGCATCTCCTACATTACATTCCCATCCTATCCATACAAGCTAAGGCCTGATTGCTGCATCTAATAATACCTAGCCACAACCCACTCTTCCCCAGCTCCTATTAAACCCTTCCACTCCCACTCTCTCCCCGCCTCGGTTCGCCTTGTGTCGTACTGTACATACATTCTTGGAGTGCATCGCCTCACAAGCGCAGCACAGAGTAGCCTGCCTGGAATCAATTACAGTCAGCCCCTCATATTACTCATACATTCATATTCATTCACAACTACATTACACTTTTCAGCCTGGCGCAACATCAATCGTATCTCGCTACGCAACGCAACACCGCACGGATTGCTTTTCTACGTAGCAATCACACAAACTCTATCAATTACTATAGACATTCTGTTCAGCCTGCCATCCATTCGTTTGCGTTTGGTTGGTTAGCATCTGAGGTAAACTCTTGCCTGGTCCTTCTGCCTGGTCCACCCACCGCTTTACGCCTTGGTTGCTTACCAACTTCACGTATGAAGCAGAGATAGCCAAACTTATGGCAGAACCTAGGCTCGGGCTCTCTGAGGTTGTCTCAGAAGAGCGCACCGAGCCATTTTCTCAATCCGAAATTGACGCCCGCTTCAAGGGGATTGGTGTTGAAGAACCAGTCCCTATTACTAGCTCTTCGCTTGTCTCGTTAGACGAGCTCCACGTCGAGGATCACCACCACAGGCAAGGCATCCGCATTCTATTTCGTCCCCTAGCCAACTTCCCCAAGTCGCGGTCTGTGAGCCCTGGTAGTGAAAGTTTACAGTGGCTCGCTCTCCGCGCCGAAGTTGCTTCACCAGAGCAGCCTGAGCACAAAGTTCTCGCTGTGACTCAGACCTCCAAAGATATCAAATTCACCGTCCGTATCCCCGGTGAGACTCAAGATGACTACCCAAGGCCCCCTTTGTGGTGCGAGCTATACTACGATCCCGCTAGTGACAAAGTCATCTTCTTGAACCGGTCAGACCTACCAATTTCTCTGTCAGGAGTGTCGCCGACGCCGCCGTCGAGCCCTTACAGTCCTTCACATGTCGTCAACCCCGGGTCAGCCAAGGCTCTGAGGCCTGGAACATGGCGCATCACGCTTCGAGACATGGAAGTCCTCGACTTCCGAGTACTTGAAAAGCGCCCGGTGATACTGTATCAACCACAGCAACAGACTATTGTCGAAGATGTTCCCTCAGAGTCCAGCACCCCCACCGTGAACTCGAGCGGCAAGCGGGCCCTTTCTCCGGAGCATGACGAGAAGAGAGTGAAACGTCGTGTCTCAGACCCGAATACACCCGGTGACGACGGTGTTGTTATGTTCCTCAGGCCTTCCGCAGATCCCTTGGTTTTCTCTCTTCCAAATGGTCGCGAGAGCAAGGAGCTCTCCTCTGTGAATGGCCATCCTCTGCTGGACGCTGAAAAGGGTGAAACTGCTGCAATCTCAGGTGTCTGCGAAGTCGATGAGTACGAACTCACCAAGCGAGAGCCAATTGCTTCGACTTCCTTGTCTGCCGTGTACACAGCAACACACTCCCACGTACCGAACAACATCGTTACTGTCAAGGTACTCAAGACGCGCGTTGCCAACCCCAATGACAAGGCGCTCGTCCACGAGCGGACTGTCATCCGTCAGGCCGACATGTGGCTTCGTGAGTGTAGGGGTCAGGAAGACCTGCAGCACAAGTCAATTGTTCGCTACTATGGTGGTGATGCCCGATTCCTTTCCCTATATATGGAGCACATCGACGCGAAGGATCTAACTTCCATGCCTCGATGGCGGAACAATACCAACGATGAGTTCATTGGCGACAGAAACGACGCAGCCAGAATCTTGGGAGACATCGCTGGCGCCCTCAACTACATCCACGGTCGCAAGCTGGTGCATAACGATATCAAGCCCGCCAATATCCTCTACTCGCCGGAGAGAGGTGCGGTCCTTTGCGATTTTGGTCTCTCTACACCGGCCACTGCTACTAATTCGCCGACCGTTGGCGGAACACCGTACTACGTTCCTCCGGAATTCATTGGGCGAAAACAACGCGGACCTGCTTCTGACGTCTGGGCACTCGGTGTCACTATGCTCTACGTGTTGCGCAAAATAACGTACCCTGACTCTCGTGCTCATCGACGACACCCGCGACCCCTTTATTGGTTGATCGCTGGGGTGAACAGTCCCAACATGCCGCACAAGCAGTATGGAAATGGCCAACCCGCTATGAAGCAGATGCGAGATTGGCTTGCCGAGATCTTCGATGCGAGAAAGAGTCTGAATCCCAAGGATCGACTCGAGCGGATCGTTATGGAGATGCTATACCCTAACCCCAACCAGCGTATCACTATGGCCAAAGTGGTACAAGAGTTGGCTGTCGAACAGGTTGCTGCTCCTGCGGGATGAAGCCCGTGTAAGGAGTCGCGACTGTTATCAACCATATGTGAGAGGATCTCACAAGAATAATCAATTGGTCATTGCCTGTCTTTTGTTTTCTGATTCCAGGACTGGAGTTTGGCGTTTTAGCGTTACATGCTGAATTTATATGAGTGGGATGGTGAGTAAACAAGCAACGCCCCTGGTTTGACCAAGCTGACCAACCCAGATTGGATATACCCTGTTATTATTCCTTACGTTTTACTGCAATTATTGTTTCTATATATTATACCAATTGCATGTTCATTTTCCTTTTCTTCAATCATGCAAGTAATCATATACGGGGTCTGGAAGCATCTTTGGGGTTCCAATGGATCAACAATAAAAGGCTCCTAGTAGCCAGCCTGTAATTGCAGGCTGGCCATGTCAATGGCATATTTGTTCCACATTTGAACAGTCAGAAGTTTGAAAGGCCGTGAATTTTCTACCGTGACTACTGGTTACACATTGAAATACTCGTGTCTCATAAGGTCATCCATCTATAGGCCCAAGCCCATCACAAAAGCGGCAGCAAGACCCACGACAGAGGTCATAACCATCGTGTTCACACCCATGGTGCCAGCGGCGTTGTCCTTGCTGTCTCCAGAAGATGTAGAGTTGGAAGAGCTATCTTCCTCAGTTCCGTTGCCCTTCTGCTGCTTGATCTTGACATAGTCCACATCGCCAGTTTTGTTGCTAGGTCCCTTGGCATTCTCCTTGAAGCGGATATCCGCACAGTTGTACAGGGCATTGCCAGTGTCACCAACCGTAACAACCTGGATACTAGCGATGTCTCCGTCCTTGGGCTTGACGTCTGACGGTAGCTCAAGCTTGTCGATGAATAGAGTGCCCGAGTTTGTGGCGTTGAGGAACTCTGGGGTGAGGGAGATGTTGAAGTTGGTGGAGTTCTCGCCGAGGCCAAGGTTGACGAAGATGTAGGACCATTCGTGGTGAAGATCAAGGGTGAGAGCACCACCGTCGAGGGGCCAGTCAGTGAGGTTCTTCTTATTGAAGTCAACACGAGCACCTATTGTTTGTTAGTAGAGTATGCGATCACAGGATATGAAATATCTTACAGGGTTGCTCCCACTGGTTGTAGCGCTCCTCGCCCTCCTCACTGAGGGTGTCCGCTCGCCAAGGAGGGAAGACAAGACCGAAGTGGGCAGAGACAGCCTGGACAGTAGCCAGGCCGAGAAGAGTCTTGAAGGCCAGCATCTTGATTGTTGAGGTGGCAAGTGTGTTACGGTGGAGGAGAGGGTGAGTAACGACAAATGGAAGCACAGCAGGCGCTTCAGCTGTCTTTATATGCACAAAGCAGCAGCTCAGTCATTCCAGGGTCCAGCTCATGTAACCGAGCTCTAGCTCTCTGCATCTGGAAGCTGCTCTCAACCAAGCAATTGTTGACTTAGCGTGAGTCAGTTTCGCAGGGTTGTGGCTGACTTCGCGTGATAGCCACTGCTGTGTCACTGGCAGCTTTACCGTTGAAGAAGCCGGTGTCTCCCCCGGACACTCGGGGGTTGGTGTGGATGTTGGGGCTGCAGGTGGCCGGTTGAAAACGGTCTTTGACCGGAGCATGCTATATAGATGTATCTGCAGTGTGAACGTTGATAAATTCAGTCTACTCATGATGATACTGCTATACACCCTCGTGAACTCTCTTTTTCTCTCACAATAAGCTTAGAAACAAGGTTTCTTTAAGCATAATATCCGGAGTCTGGACATGATTCTCACTTGCCTATCATCATGTCTTGTCCCAATAAGGTCAGGCCATGTGGGGGATGGCTGAGAGAGAGCGAGTTTGAGATGATAATAAACTTGCTCAAATGGCCGCACCAACCCCTGTTAGGTAAGGCTGTTGTTTTTTTTTCTCAAGCTTAAACGTGGATAATTGACTCAATTGATGTATTTGGAGGCTCTTATTGGTGTGAATACCAGCGGTATGAATGATGTTATGTTGGTCTAGACTTTTGTGAACTTGTGCGGTGATGTGTTGTGTTGGTGATTGAGATTGAGGTTGTCGAGGCGACACAGGGTAAGTTGTTGCATGAGTGAAGTTAGGTAGTTATCACAACAGCGCATGTGGGCGAATATGGTGTTCAGTTGAGATCGGAAAAAAGGGATAATGAAGAGAGACGATTCCCGTAAAGCTACAGTAGCCTACTAGTTGTTGATAGCTATCAAGTTCCTGGTATTACTGACCCCAGGTTGGATTATCCTATGATATCAAGGAATACAAGAAATAGGACAATGAAGAGTGTAACTCACACGAACAAAGATAATAAATAAGTCAATACACAACGATATCCGTAAATACAGTCACATAACATTCATAAGGCCGAAAGTTGTTGTTTTATTTCGATTGTTGCCCAATGACTGATCACCACTCGCACCATATCTGGACTGTAAGTCAAGTTTGATGGCTGGAATGATGGCGTCAAAAACCGTTGGACCCCTAAAGAATAGAAGCCAAAAATTCAATACAGGACCGCAGTAACAAAACCGATCAAAACACAAGTAAAGGGCAACCCTCATCTTCAAAGATCTACGTAGTACGAAATAACATGGCCCATTAACTTCAGTTTCATGTAAGTGAAATGTTGTAGTGCGTCACGTGCTTGCGCGCCTCAAGGCGTTCCCACCGATAAGGATTTTCTAACGAAGGTATCCACTTTTCACCGATAAGATCGATGCTTCCCTGATGCTTCAACATTTGACTCGTCTCCCTTCCAAATCATCAGCATCTACAATCATCAATCATGGATCCTGGACGAAAAGCCATGATCGCCGGACGACGGTCCCCTACCCGACGAGATGTGACATCCCCCAGACACGATCCAACCAACCGAATCACCAAATCCACCAAACCAAGTGGTTCCAAGATCAACCCCAAGTACTTGACTCAAGATGAGCAATCACGACAATTTGTTGCCGATGAGGACAAGTTCGTACTGAAGCAGTCCAAGAAGAAGGCGGATATCCGAATTCGGGAAGGCCGTGCGAAGCCCATCGATTACCTGGCATTCAACCTAAGATATATCGATACAGACCGCGATATCTTCGACGACGACGACGCTGATATTGAAATCGATGTTCCCGCACCCGGAGATGTTGTTGCCTCGCTTGATGCAGAGCAGATTGCCGAGCTGGAATCTGATATCGCCTCATACCACGTGCTTGAAACCAATGCGACCAACCGGGAATATTGGAGAGCGCTTCAGACCATCTGTAAAGATAGGAAGGCGAAATTAGATCCGCACGGCCATGAGAGAAGGGTTGTAAGCAGTGTTTCAGACGACATCGACAAGATCCTCGCCCCCAAGACGCATGACCAGCTGGAAGCCTTAGAAAAGCAGATCAAGGCCAAGCTACAGTCCAACGAGGATATCGACACGGATTACTGGGAACAGTTGCTGCGAAGCCTCCGAGTGTGGAAAGCTCGTGCCAAGCTGAACCAAGTATACGAGACAATCAAGGAGACTCGTCTCAACCAACTCAAGGAGCGCGATCCAACCAAGGTCAAGGCATCGGGCCAGCCGACTTCTGCCCCCAAGGTGACATTTGGTTCTCAGCCGGTCCCACCAGCTTCAGAAGAAAAGGTGTCTCCTGCACCCGCTTCATCCTCGAGACATGTGGGCACAACAGCCCCTCCAGGGACTGAACGTTTTTCTCAGGTTGACAACGTGGACTTCTCACAGGCAACCAAAGCACTGTATGATCGAGAGGTTGCTAGAGGTGTCGACGAGAACGAGGAGATCTTCACCAGCGAAGAGGCTGTTACCACTTCTAAGCCTCAATGGGCAGACAAATATAGACCCCGGAAGCCGCGCTATTTCAATCGTGTCCAAATGGGTTACGACTGGAATAAATATAATCAGACTCATTACGACCACGATAATCCGCCACCCAAGGTTGTTCAAGGTTACAAGTTCAACATATTCTATCCTGAGCTCATCGACAAGACAAAGGCACCAACCTTCAAGATCATTCGAGAACATGGCCGCAGACGCGGAGAATCATTTGCTGCTGCTGGTGAGGAGGACACGTGCCTAATACGGTTCATGGCAGGCCCTCCATACGAGGATATTGCGTTCCGCATTGTTGATCGAGAGTGGGATTATAGCGCCAAGAAGGATCGAGGCTTCAAGAGCTCCTTCGACAAGGTATGTTCATCTGGACCCCTCCACTTCACTTCACGTGGTAGGGCCAAGTCTCTGCCTCTGCATTAGCCGCCTTGAGTTCGTATTGCGACGATGGCTTGACCTTTGGATGAACTGCTCTATGCAGCCCAGACCGGTCTACGTTGGTGACAGCCGTCTTGACCCATGCTTTCAGACGCCATCGCCCCTCCATTACATGCTCATGAACCCACAAAGCTAACCGTGCATACTCAACAGGGTATCTTGCAGCTGCATTTTCAGTTCAAAAAGGTATGACTTCGAAACCATATCTGTTGGTCCAGCCTGTTCGATTAGACTAACACGTTTCTCCAGATCTACTACCGGAAGTAGTTCCGGGATCGATCACCAACTATCTCTTGCCTGAAGTTGCATTGGTCCTCGGCTAGTAAGAGCAAAACTGGGCCATCACCTAATGAAAAGGGGAGGAAAACCCGCTTATGCATCGCCCATTCCGTCGAGTTTGAGTACCGGAGAGGAAAAAAATGCACGTTTTCAAGCGGGAGGGCGGACCAATCCGCCCTGCCTGATAAGGGTTGCATCATGGTGATTGTTGATAGCTTTCGACATGTCTACGCTACCAGGGGCATGTCTATTGATACATCTGTACTACCTATTTGAGGGTTTCTAATTCGGGATTCAGAGCGGGGATTGGTAGAGAGCTAGAGTGGGCAAAGGTTGAGTCGATGCTGGAGTAGTATCCTGCTACCTACTAGATCTATTCGATCATCGTCCCGACCTGACCGCCCAGTTCAAGAACCTGCGCAGACCAGGTATGAAATTACATCTTATGTCCCTGGATCTACACCTCTCCAACAGACAGACCTTCAAATCAGCAAAGATTGCTGCAGCTATGATCCAATTGATTGTCACAAGCATTGCAATGAGTCTGGCATGCAAACTCGGGTCATCAGGCCTACTGCATCAGAACGCTTCTAGAAAGCTGTCACTTGCGAGCGTTCACGGACCGGGGCGAACAGACAGTACCAAACCGCTCGGGCATCTTTACGTTTATGTTTTGAAGGAAATCCACGCGGAGCTTGGGCAATCGAGATGTGACAAGAGGGTTGGTTGCAGCAAACACCAGTCAGAACAGCTGCGTCAAGCCTGATGATGCCTTGAGTCCTGAGTTCTAGTCGGATACCCGTCGATGAAGCTTCGAAAGATTGTTCTATGCATATTCTTTGACGCAGCGGGCCGCAGAGTAGTGGTGATTTTATGCTTCAGCAAGCTTCTGACGGCTTCTCCGGCAGCTTCCATAGTGATTCACAACAGCAACAGATGGATAACGGGGATTCAAACGGGATGGGCATCCACCGATGCTGTGATTGGCGTCTGATTGGTATACAGATTGGTGTCCCGATTGGTATCGTCTGAAATGCAAGGTGCCGTCTGAGACGCAGACTACCCGTGATAGCCCCGTTGATGAGAGTACAAGCCGGTTGAGTTACCGTCAAGTGACTTGAAGCCCGTTGGTAGCGTGTCCCTTACAGGGTGTGATGCTTCTCGGTCCCGATACATACCAGGTCTGCCTGATGAGACCAGGAGGGATGTTTCGACAGAAGAGAGGGAAGATTTGACGATACGCAAAGGGGCATGCAACACAAGGCTTTCCAGGCTGATCGAAAAAATATCGGCACATTTCTTGTTAGGAGCACTCGTTCTAAGGTTGCACGTCCTGTTAGGGACCTTGGATCAGGGCCCTTGGAACATCTCATTCTTGATGCAATCACCCACTGCATGTAGCTCACTCATCCTTGCCTGGTTGCTCCGCTCAAGCAAGTACTGAGCCTACATACAGTACAATATCTGAAAGCAGTTTCAAGGACCAGGGCATCTGAGTGCATGCACTTGTGGCGTATGAGGTGACAGATATTGCCTATTGGACATGGTACTCTTCCTACAGGCAGGGCTCATAGACGTCACTAGAGTTGAAGCAAGAGAAGACAAAGGTGGCAGAGGCAGAAAGCCCAGTGGGAACTCATTTGCGCGTCCAACATCTTCTAGACTTTGGTGATGGCCACACACAAAACACAAGCACAGGCGCACATTTACAACACAAATGCATGTTAGGAGGGAGGCTTGCTGTCGGTGATCAGTTACCCCCGTAGGGTGGCTTACAGATGGCGTCCCTGTCCGTTTTCCTTGTCTGCCACGGACCACTATGGCTTTCTCGGCGCTTGTTGGTCGGCCCTCGCCCTTTCACTTGGCACACACCCCCGAGCGACCTTGACTACGATCTGAGATCCTTGCCCATAAGCTTCGACGGATGAAGGTGGATGGGAGATCTAAAAGCTAAGATTGCTGAATCTGTCAACGGGCATTTGTTTATCAACGGATCGGCGTCTAAACGAAGCCGTTGTCTAAAAGCCAGCCCTGGAACTCCACGCCCTATCCCAAACGAGCGGGAGGAGACACAAGCATCCTTCGCTTCGGCTTCAAATATCGCCATATTTCCTTGCCCCCATTCTTATCCTTGTCCTATTGTGTCTATTGTAACGTTCTGCTATCTCCCATTCTCTCCCTCCATTCTCCAACTTGCTCATCAATATCTCTCTTTCACCTCGCTTCCCATTGCTTGGTACATGAGTAAAGAAATCTCCTTGTTCCGAGAACACCATCAAACCACCCACGAGACTCATTGTACTTCCTTCCAAACAAGTGTCCTTGACTTCAACAGAGGCTGCAATGGATACACCGTTTTCTGGTGACGAGCAAGCTTCTAGCTACACGAATATTATCACGGGCCACGGTCAACAATCACCTTGCGTGTCAGAGCTCACCGGTATGGAGCCATACTATGCCCTCTCCTCGGGTCCTCAGGATCAACCATCTCATCTATCATCAACTGGTCCGCTGTCTCTAGGCTCAACCCTATCACAGCACCAAGAGAACCAACAGCAGACGTCACATCCGACTCATGACGCGACTGTGTATGCTTCCATGACCTCAGGTTTTCCATATCCGCCTCGAAGTCATCTCCAAGTCTGGCCCTCACCTCCACCAGGATCTGACGATTATGACAACTACTCTTACCAAAGTTCCCCAAGCAGTGGCAGTGCCCCAATGAGCTGCTACAACCCATCACCCATTTCACCAAGGACGTGGTCTTCTCCAGACTTCCCTCTGTCTCAACCTACAGATCCTCTCCAACAGAATTCTTTCAAGAACCTCCGCATTTGCACGCCGACATCAAACGAAGGATACCCCGTCAGAGGCCCTCGGGGCCTGACGCCTTTTTCAGGTGGCGGTATGAATCAGATTTTCGATAATGAGATTGACGGCCTGCCCCAAAACTACTCCCCAGTGACAATTCCCAGTTCATCAGCTGGAGCACTATCATGCATCGGCTCCCCGCAAGAACCTCTTCTCGGGACCCCCGTGCTCATGAAAGCTAGACATAAATCACCCGCCGGTGTACCGGAGTACCGCGCGAACTCAGAAGTGGTTCAAGAAGGCAAGGACCTTCAGGCCGCTGCTGCTGGTGGCGCCAAGACAGATGAACCATACGCCAAGCTGCTCTACCGAGCTCTGATGAGTGTTCCGGATCATGCTATGACTCTTCAAGAGATTTATCAGTGGTTTCGTGAGAACACTGATAAGGACATCAAGAAGGACAAGTCAGAGAAGAGACCGGGCAAAAATGCCGAAGGCTGGCAGAATAGCATCCGCCATAACCTGAGTATGAATGATGTAAGTTAAGACAACCCCAAGCAATGCACTCTCCAGACTTTCCTGTCTCAGATCTCGTTTCCATAACCCCCCTGCTATTACCGGGTATAGCTTGCGGCATAAGCTGCATATGTACATAGGCACATAGTCCAACGCTTCTTGGGGGTTTGGACGAATCATGCTACAAGAGTTCGATGAAAGCTAACAGGGATCTTGATGGTAGGCTTTTGTCAAACGAGAACACAAGCTGGCGTCAGACTCGGCGTCGAGAGCAACGGAGCAGGGTTCAGGCTCGACTAAAACTGGTGAAGCTAAAAAGGCGACCGAGTGGGTGTTGGAGGATTGGGCCGTCCTGAATGGAGTTGAGAGCACAACAAAATACCGCGGCAAAAACACATCACGTCGAGGAATGGGGCGCAAGTACCATCACCACCCATATGATGACAGATTTTCACAGCGACACAGCCCAATTGCCGCCAAGGGAAGCTCAATTGTCAAGGGCGAGTTCCCAACGAACGACATGAGAATGCGCGAGCGTCAATACACTCATGAAGTGAACATGGCACCAAGGTCCCACCATATCAACCTCATCGCACCCCCTCATCCTCATCCCATACGCCGGGCGACTACAATGCCGAGCATGTATCAGTCACCACAGCCGCAGCACCGAGGCTACGAAGGGCTGATGATGCCACGAGTCGAGAGAATGCCCCAACCAATCATCAAGCAGGAATATTCTCCAATGACACCCGACTCAAGTGGGTTTGGCTTCGTGCTTCCAGAGCCGAGCCTAATACACGCGCATGCAGTCAACTCTAGCGCCAGTAACAGCAACGGCACCACCGCGTATACGCTGCCTAGTGGCACCCAAAGCATGTACGTTGGCTCATCTCCGTGCGAATATCCGTATGGGATGGTAGACGTCACAGGTGTCTATCAAGGCAGCGGTCACAATAGCCCTACTGGCGCTGGCGCTAGTGCTAGTGCTAGCGGCGGAGTCAACGAACGCCTCATAGGGATCGGCCCTAACGACGTCTACAGCTGGAACGGCCAGGCACTCTGAATATGGAAATCTTCTGTCCTAAACACCCTGAGGCAAGTGTCAGCCACCAATACCACTTGTTGTCAGTTCTGTTGGCGGCCGACGAGGGCCGTAGTGATTGATGCTACCAACAGCGGGCTTACTGGCAGGGGAATGAAAAGGATGAGAACATACATAAGAGAGGCCAGAAGAAAAAAGAAGACAACAAAAAGACAACAAAAACAAGTAAGAATGAAAATTGGTGTTCCTCCAGGGATATCGACCAGCTTGCTTATCCGCACCTTTGCGCCACCGCGGGAACCGCGAAAAAGAGGGGTGAAGTTTAGTGAGTGAGTGAGTGAGTGAGTGGTTCTGGAAAAAAGCAAATCAGCTTCTATCCTTTTCATCGACTCGACGCCCTAAGATGGAAGAAAGATGGTGGGCAGTTTCAAGCAACAGAGGACGACGTTGTGAGCTAGACAGAAGAACCACCACCACCACCACCAACACAACTTTACCTCAATTTACCTTAACTCACCTTACCCCGTTCAACCTTTTCCTCAACTCTACTCTCCAACTCACTAGGCTGGACCCCACACAGAGCCTGGTGGCCACGGGCGGATCACCTTCCATCCGAACGATGTAGACTCGCGGTCATGGGCTGAGCGCGAGACGCCGAGCCTTTTGGGGCTGACTGCTACGGTATTGTCACTCTTGTCTACCATCATTCACTACCTACCTACCTGTCTTGACTGATCAAGAACAAGGTCATGGCATGTTTGCATTGAAACAAGTCATCGTCATGGTAGCTCGTCGCCTTGGGCTTGGCATTATCATGTCGAAGCGGGGGTTTCCAGCAGAAAAGAGACGCCCGCATGCATGCCCTTGGGGATATCTTATCACTTTCCAGCTTCCTGGCACTCGGTTGACAATGTTGCATTGTGCTTTTGTCGTCTTACTACAATACCTACTTACCTACTACAAGGAGTATTCTTACTGCGACTTTTAGGTCGCAGCGGCGCATAAAAAAGGGTACTCAAAATAGAAGGAGATTCGGACTCGGTTTTGATTTCGATTAGGCATTGTTTCCTTTCCTTTTTCCTTGTTCTTTTTTGGGTGGCGTATCCGTTTTGATTAGACGATGCGCTCCATCTTTTGCTCCCCGAGGACCGACAAAGATGCATCATTTCCCTTGTTACTTTGGCTGCTTGCTTGGCTGGGCGGGTGATCACTGGGGTCGACGAGCGAAACGTCTTCTCCCAAAGCGTGTTAATGTCTTTATTATTTATTCATTATCATAATTAGCTCGTTAACCCCCCTATCTTGTATGTATCAACCATGCTACTTACAAGCGCCTGTTTTTCATGCCGCTTCCGGCATCAATACCAAGAGCATCCCTTACAATCGCCTTTGTTGCTACGTGCCAACCTGAATCCCAGGCAAGTCTTTGACTTGTATTGCCATTGAATCCTTTATTCAGTCTTCTCTTTGTCATTGAACACGGCTGGCATGGATGCCCAACAATAAAGGGAGAAAGATGGAATTTGGACGAGCGTTACATATAGCTCATATATTGGCATCTGTAGATCTGCGGAAATGACAATATAAAACAATACAACTCTAAACTCAAAGGTTTTGGTGTGATCTCCACTGTAAATGCTGTCAAGACTTGGCTCTTGCGGCTTGTACCATTCACGTTTACGATCTTGGACGATGAGTCTGGCCGGGCAGCAGTGTTGGCATCTGCCTGGGCAGCAGCAAATCGAATTCACTGCTAGTAGCAGAAGTAGAAGAAGTTGAGCGTATGTAGTCCCCATGCTGGTTGTTGTGCCCGTCTCTCCACTCGACCCTGTTTTTCATTGCCCTGGCCTGGCTTCAGCTTTTCGTAGTGGGAGTGGGGAATAAGCAAGGTTCATAGAGCCCCCGTTGTTGCGATCACAGGAATATCATTGGTTACCGACAGTCTGGTAACGAAGCTGAGCCAACAGGAAATGATCCGGCTGCCCCTCCTTCTTTCTATTCATCCTAGTCCCCTGTCAGATTGTGTCGTCTCATTCGCGCTGAGTTGCACTATTCTCATCGTGGAGGCAGGGCCGGGGGCTGTCGGCTACGTTGTAAGGGTTGTCATGATCGCCAGGAGCTCAGACGCCAGCATTACCTAGTTAATGAGTGTGTGAACAGCTGCGCGGGGTGTACGTATCCCTGAAGAGGGAATAATCTCAATACTAGCCTCATCGCACAGGCGCCTCAGATCTGAGAGCGAGTGGGATAACGAGATATCGAATCTCCACTTCTGGTCTTGGATAAGAATGCATCATGCATCGATCCCAAGATTCAGTTCACACCATAAGACCAACTGAACACAAAACCAGTTGCTTATCGGTGTCCCGGCCGGCAAGCATCTTTGTCAGAACCGCCCAGCGCGGGCCGTTGCTCTGCGCTCCCCGCTGCCACTGCCTCTGCCACTACCATTCACGGTCCCTCTACAATGCTTCAGGCACGGCAAAGAAATACTGTAGAAAACAAGTGCAACGTCTGCCGAGTATTATTAGATCTGGTTTGGGTTGGATTGCGCTTACAGCACATCAACGTCAGCCACACTCTCGACAGCTAACCGTTTAGCACGAAGACGTTGATTCGGGGTCCGCAACGATAGACGAGAGAGCGATCCCGAATCTTTCTCTGCCTTGCCAAGCCTCATCCGGTGTCTCACATGATCGCCCGTCTCTTGCTTCGGCTTTTCTTTTTCTCCTCAACATCCTTGTAGTCGCCTCTGAGAGTTAAGGACCCCTTGCCGGGTCCTATCCTTTACCAGTAGAGCCAATTTCAAGCCAGTTCTTCAGCTGAATTTAGTCATGGATGAATGGCTGGCTGATGGTGCGGGGCCTTAGATATCTTAAAGCCCAAGCAATAAGTTGTTGAGACTTTTTGTCGATTGCGGGCTCATACCTCAGGCGCTGAGAACCAACACGGTCCAACAATCTGGCCAGTGGCGAAGAATCCGATGCAACTTGGCATTGCACAGTACTGCTATGCTATGATGTGCGGTACCGTACTGTATATGGTATAGTAAGAATAATCGAATGAAAAGTCTCGGTGGTGTAGGAAAGAGAAACTTCATCGCGAAGTGAGGCTAAAAATTACCCTATTGATGTAATAGACATCAAGAACCAACGGCCTCTCGTCTTTGCTCGGCCTTTGCATTAAGCTTGATGATAGCGGCCGCTGGCATTGCACCGCTCGTCATGTAAGGGCGTTTTTGGCACCTCTGACAACTCAGTTGCCTCAACCACCAACCAGGAACGGGCCGGGCATGGTCGTCATCAATGAGAAAGAGCTAGTCTTTCTGGTCAAGCCATCACGGTCGTCGTATTCATCAACTGGACCCTTTGGAAGCCCCGACTTGCTTCCATGCGTGGCCTCGTATTAAGGCTCGAATAGGCAAGAAAAAACAAAACGCCGCTGCGTTTGTTGCGTATGCCGATATGCTTCAACGTTTAAAAAGAGGGCGCTAATAATAAGTTAGCTTTGGAGCCAGCAATGACAATAGGAACATGGCGTTCTGCACCAACTATGGCTGGCGATGAAAGGACTCGCGGGGCTGGGCAGACACGCTCTAGTGTCATGGTGTCTTCTGCAGCTTGACTAGTGAGGGACTAGAAGAGAAGAAAATCACCACCATGGCATTTCCCTGGCCTTCCTCACAGACCCCAACCGATGCAATGCAGGTTGAAACAAGGAGATCCCGAGTGGGAGAGAATTAACCTCTAAAGTTAGTGTGCGTGTGTGCATTTTTGTTGGCCCTGAAGCCTCGTCCATTCATATTTAAGCTTATTATTGTCAGGCCATGGCATGGTTGGTCCTTATAGCCAAAAGCGGGACAAGGCTTGTACGGTACTGTATATAGTCATATTATTGAATTGGCTGAGCCTGTTCACACGGTACTCCCAACAGCTCACGGCGGACTCGAGAGTTCAAGCAGGACCTTGTCAGAGTTCGCGATCTGCTGGCACACAACACTACATCTCTATGGTGCAATCGGAGGGGAGCAGCTGCACCCACCCCTGATCAGATACCTGGGGATGTTTTGTAAGCTCTCAGGTAGCCCTGAGCATGAGATGGATATTCAATCCTCATAATAATCGGCACCGCACCTTGATCCTCCGAGACGATCTTGTTCCAAAAATGAGCAAAGCGTGGTCGTTTGCGCCTTGAAAAGCCACCAACGATGCATACCGGCAGTATCTCGTGTTAAAGAGATGGTGGCCGCATAACTCTGCATTCCAAATTAGTCCAGAAAGCTGATGTCACCAACGTCGCATATGCCAACTGCTCAAAGTTAAAGTTGTATGCCTGCACTTCTTCAGTTTTGGACTTAACTGCTCCGTCCACGAACTGGTCTCAAGTCCTCGACAAGAGGAGAGTAGCGAATCATTGGCCACGAATGACACTGAGTTGGCTATTGTATGAAGGCAGCAAAGACCGAAAATACAAGTGTCGCAGTGGAACGATGGGCACAATCGCTGCAAACGACTAAGACACCAAGAGTGCGCTGTGACTTGCCTCACACCAATGTGACCGGGGAACCTGGTTCGTCAAGGACATGATCCTAGCCGGCTAATCGTCGATCTTCGTTCCGCCGTGCCATGCTCCAGTCTGAAGAAACCATCCAGTTTGATCGAGTCACATCAATTGGCGGTCGGAAGCATTTTCTGCAACCCGGTACCTGGTACGATCCATCAAGCATTTGCAGCCACCTGATCCACTATCGAGATAATTACGATCTGGGGAGATTTACTTTCCCGATTGCGACAACAATTCGAGCTGAACCAACACCTCCAATTCATGTGCCCTGTCCAGCCCTCGGGTAATGGTTTGATCGCAGGAAATAGTCGTTGAGCCGCTTTCGAAGAGAAAGGGAACAATTGTAGAGTCAAGGCATCGTTCGAGAATCATCCATTCTGACTCGAGACTCTCCGTTTGTTATCGCTATCTCTCTGAGCCGGAAGTATTCCGAGTAAGCCTGCCCTTAGTGTAGCTATGGAGATTGCAACGGCAGCTAGGGTAGTAATGGCTTATCCTGAAGACACGGTTTGCTGTCAGAAGTGTCAGTGGCCTATCATCCTATCAACCCTGCTGATATTGCAGCTAGCTTGCCACAGCTTATCCATCATTGAGATCATCGTAGCTGTCCTTTCCTCTCTCTTCCACTTTCTTCATAATATCAAGTAACACTTATCGCAAGGACCATCATCTGATCTGTTGGCTTTAATGATCGGGGTGTGCATTGCTGATCCTTGTGAAAAGACCCTTGCTGTAATGAATTCCGTAATGCCACACTGGCATGGTCTGCGGAGCTCTCCACGTTCAGTATGTGTTCTCGTTGGTTGCGCCTAGGCGCACTCCTAGAGGCGTTTCTTGGCTGCTGCGCTAACAATCCATGAGCCTGAGTAGGATCCACTGCCTCATGTCCATGAGCACCTCAAAAGTAAGTGCCACAATCTCGTCTGTTTGATGCATTACCGTTATGTGCGACTACCGCGTGACAGATGGCGTATGAGCTCCATATTACATCCAATGGTTAGCGGAAGCATGCTGGAGATGACCCCTCAGTCGCAACACAATGTATTGATATCTCTCCAATGAGACCGAGTCAACTCGACACACCATGACTGAGCGTGGTAGTTTTTCAAGTGTGGTGTCCTGGAAGTTGAAGGAGTGTCTTCAGCGCCTTCCAGCCGTACGCCATAGGGCGCCACCTTAAGCCTCAATCATACGATTGTTGTGATTTTGCATATTGAGAATCCGTGCCTTACGAGTGACCACGTTCTCATGCTTTAACATCAAAACTAGCTTCTGAATTTTGAAAGACTGTGCCAACATATGCAGGGATCTTGATTGATCAACGATCTGGAAACTACTCGACTCAGTCAACCCTTCGTTCGATAGATATCAATTGTAGCATTGAGACAACCGTTGATGTATGGGAGACATGGATATAGATCCCTCAATATCGGAGGCTGCGCTTGCTTATTTCACTGGCGCCTGTTGAGTCTCGAATGGGCATATCAGATAGAAGCTCTTAAATAGTTCAAATTCGACAGAGACATCCAGAAAACGCTACGCCATATTCCAACTGATGCATAAGGACAAGATTTAGCTGTATGTAGGAGCAATATTCCGCTTCAGCATGAAAGCTCCAGATATTTGTGATGCCAATGAATGCCAGATGAGTAGCAATGGCGTGCGCGTAGACGGGGAATCAACTGGGATAATCGATATAGAGACGACAGATAGGGATGTTTATCATGGCTTCTCTTGGTTCCACTGAATTGGTCTCCCTTGGTGTTCACAGCATGAACTTGTGAGGTTGCATCGATGGCGTCCTGTGCGGCCGGATAGGCGCAGTGCATTCTCATGTTATACATAATTGGTAACTGAGGTTTTTCAAATACCCGCCTGCTGATTCCCGATCAATATTGAATCACCACAAGATGTAGAACCTTGGGCCAGATGTGTGAAGTGGCCTCCGGCGTCTGATGCGGACACCTCCCCGGAATGAACCAGTATATGAAGGCACATGTCTTGGTAGGTAGTATTGATCGCTCATTCATAATGAGACGATCATATTGTCAATGCATCAATATTGGTTTATTCTTCGAGGAGGTATAATCAATTGCCAGAATCGACATTGCATTGTCCATATGTATTGTACCAGAAGATGTTAGCAGTAAATCGCCCGGCGGTTAAGCCTGCAACTTCGAGAGTAGAAAATATGTGATCAAAATCTGCGTTTCTTCTTAGCAGGACCAGCAGCAGCTTTCTTTTCAAGCTCCTTTTTTAGTTCCTCTCGCCTTCGGTCCGCCCGTTCCTGTGAGGTCTCCCTGGGCCTGGACTCTGCTGTAACTTCCTTGGTAGCGGTTCGACTCCTTCGATTGTCTTCGTTCGTCGTCTTCATTACTTCATTTATGTTGTCCTTGTGCTTCCCAATGGCACCTAACTTGTTGGAATGACGATGAGAAACTGCTGCCGTGCTAGGCTCGCCCGCTTCCGGATTAAGGGTGACTGGCTGTTCTTCAACTAGACGCTTTGTCTTGTTGCCTCCTATACGTCCAAGGCCGCTTCTATTTGCCGCTGGCCGTGGTGGTGATGAAGTTGAAGGGGCTGATTTCTCAACTTCAGCAGTAGCTGGTTTATCATCATCCTCTGACTCGGATGCCGTCTCTGAATCATCGTGTTGTTGGCTCAATGACTTTTTCTGAGCATGAGACTGTACAGGATTGGGGGAAAGAGGTGGAGTGGACTGCTTCTTTCCACCGAGTGCTCCTATTTTACGAACCGGTTTGTTCGGCTTGCGTGTGCCGGGGCCTGGTGATACACTGCCTGCCGAAGCTATGGATTCCCCCTCTGTAGACGCATCATCAGCGACGAGTGTTTCCTTAGCATGCGTTGATTTGCCCTGGGGCAGAAGGTGTGGGGGTGTAGACTGAACTTGGAAGTCATCATCGTCTTCCTCAATACGTGCTTTTGCGGAGTCTTGAGGAGTCGGAGATTTGTCCTTCGCAACAGCCGCTTTGTACTGAGGTGGATGTGCGGCGGAGGACGCGCCCTTGAAATCTTGCCACCACTGGTCCAACCGAGGGGACTCAACGCTATCAATTATAGGCTCAAACTGTAGCCCTCCCTTCTCGAATACGTTTTGTACTAAGGACTCGGCGTCGTTCGGGCAGTCCTCTTCATACGCAAGGCCAGACTTCCAGCGCCGACGGTCGAAAGGAGCAAGACCAGGCACTTTCTCCGCAGCCGCAGCTCTAGAGATCTTCTTCTTCCCAGATAAAGCATTAAAGACATGCTCCATACCTGTACCCACGGCTTCTAACTTGTCCAGGAGCTTGTTGAGAACTGCGTCTTTGTTCCCCAGAGATCGAGTTAGAAATTCGATTTCAACATCCTTTGCGTGGTGTGCCTGAATTAAAGGCAGCACAAGATGCGTTGCGATGCTGGAGGGCGGCAGCTTCTTCAAATACATGGGCCACTTGAGCGGCTGTAACCCAGGTATTTCATAGGTGATGTTCAAGACGAGGTCATGATCACCCGCGTCAGACCGGGAATCGCGATCTAGACGAATGCTCGCCTCATTGTGTCTTGGGTGAGAAGAATCCAGAGCAGTATTGAGGCAGCCCAAGAGTTTGGCCATGTTATCAGGCGTATCGCTAGGGTCGATACTAGTGTTCTCGTTCCAACCTCTCATAAAGATCGCCTTACGATCAAGTGTTTCAGACCACATATTGGCCATATCAGTGACGTGAACAGTGTAGGCCGATGTGTCTGTATGGAAGGACACCAACAATACTGGGAAGTCGGGGGAAGAATCAAGCGGAAGGGTCCGCCATAACTTGATCTGTGACATCACTGATGAAGAAATCGACGTCAATGTCGACCTGATAATCCCTAGCCACGAGAAGTAATTGCAAAGTCGTGACCTTCCCGTAAGATGCGACAAATAAAACCGAAAAGTCTGTCAGGGACTTGTGACCAACGTGATAGATATTGATGCGTCTAGGACAGTCTAAGACAAACCGGTGCTACACGACATCGATCCACGGGGACTGAGGCGAATGCTCGAGGACAAGGTGCCCGGAGGTTTACCACACCGGAATCAAGTCCGATGTGAAGTCACACTTCTTTCGATCAACCGTACTCGATAATAGTGCCTGGACGTGAAGTGGTACAAGCTCATATGAGCGGGTAGATAGTCAGGGCAGGGGTCAGCTGGTATGGTATCACGATCCGCTGCCTTATGCGAAAGAAGAGATCGGTTTCCGATACCTTGTTGAATGGTAAGTCATGAGAGAAGTTGTAAATGTTTTTTCGAGCGTCGTGATATTGATGTTGTGGTGTTGATGAGGTTAAGGTCAAGCGCGGTGACGAGTAAACGCGTGAGGTTTTACGCGCACAGGCATCCATCGCCTACCACTCCTGCCTGTAAGAGTAATCGGCCAATCACAAACCTCAAGAGTGTAGAAAATGAAGGCAGGTACAACATCACAGTTCTGACAGGGGCCAGCTGCTGACTTCCTCCTTTCAATTAATATTCTAACGAAAAGAGTTACTGACAGGCAATTTAGGTCTGAGATAGTTGGATCCGAAACCAAACGTCAAGCACCATGTACCGGATTGAAGCCTGGATTTTAGCCAATCAAAATACATAAGAACTCACTTCACAGAGCGGTATTCACACAGTCATAAGGTATCAACACCCAATCACTAAATAAAGTACAGCCAGCAAGTCAATAAAACGCTATGCACAATCGAACCCGTCTTCTTCTCCCGACACTCAAATTAACAGAAGCACGGGCTTGAGAATGCTTCAGTCGCCCACAGCCAATCAGGGACCCGAAACAGTCACTAAACATTCGAGATCTATGAATCTCAGATCTGCTTGGTGTAAGCTTCGATCGCCAGGGACCATATGACGTACTTCAAATCGGAGCTCCATGCTTTTTAACAGCCACAATATCACTACCGCGGCAGCAAAACAATGGCGAGTTTTAATTAAATTAAATTAGGGGAGGCCTGAAGTTTCCTCTTTTCTTAATCAGTAGACAAACGTGACCGAATCTGTCAAATTTTGTGTGCCTTCCATATGTCACTGTTAAGTCTTTGCATTCATGCATCACCACTAAGAGCCTTGCGATATTCTTTCATACCAAACCGCGTTCAACTTGCAAGAAGCACGACGATATTACACCCCGCAAGATTCACCACAATGCCTCCCAAGAGAACCAAACGCGAGTCTTCATCGCCTCCGGCCAAAAAGGCAAAGACGTCCAAGACAAACGGTTCCAGTACCTCAGATGCTTTGCGCCAACCTCATCACAAGGCTGGAGAAGCCGAAGAGAATGGAATCGCGATCCGGAAATTTTACCCTCCAGAAATGTGCAATGCGAGAGCTCGCGCCTACAACAACAATGAGCTTCCGCGGCCAATTGAGGTACTTATCAGTGCCCTCGAGGATACAGCGCAGGAGCGCAAGAGTATCGACGTAAAGAAAGCCGTCGTCCATTGGTTCAAGATGGACTTGCGGCTATCCGACAACAGAGCTTTGGCTCTGGCCAGTGATAAGGCAAAAGAAGCAGGAGTTCCTTTAATTGCGATGTATATCATCAGCCCCCAAGACTATGAGGCTCACCTGAGATCCCCAGTACGTGTGGATTTCATGCTGCGAACTCTGGAAGTCATCAAACATGATCTTGCAAAGCTCGATATCCCTTTGTACGTGGAGACAGTTGAGAAGAGGAAGCGTGTTCCCGACCGGATCTTGGAGCTCATGGACGAATGGGGCGCCAGCCATTTGTATGCCAATATGGAATACGAAGTTGACGAATTGAGGCGCGAGGCCTCGATGATCAGGGATTTTGCAGAGAATGGCAAGGCATTCGAAGTCGTCCATGATACCTGCGTCGTCCCTCCAGGAGAACTCCACACTGGCGCTGGGAAGCAGTATGCTGTGTACACTCCATGGTATCGGTCATGGGTTGCTCACATTCATGAGAATCTTGATCTTTTAGAGTTGTACGAACCGCCTGAGAAGAACCCTAGCAGTGCGCGAAAGGACTTTGCGAAACTCTTCGATGTTGAAATTCCGGACGCCCCCAAAAGCAAACGGCTTGATGGCGAAGAAAAGGAGCGATTGCGCTCACTTTGGCCATGTGGAGAGCATGAGGCGAAGAAGCGTCTGGACAAATTCTGTGAAGAGATGATCGGCAACTACCAGAGGAAGAGAAATATCCCAGCTGAGGCTGGGACTTCTTCTATATCGGTCCATCTGGCGTCTGGCACGATCAGTGCGAGAACATGTGTACGGACCGCACGTGATAGAAACAAGACGAAGAAGTTGAATGGTGGTAATGAAGGTATCCAAACATGGATCAGTGAGGTTGCTTGGCGAGACTTTTATAAGCACGTTTTGGTCCATTGGCCATATGTCTGGTAAGTGAAGTATATGCAAGCATCTTGTCAATTTGACTAACAGGAGCAGCATGAACAAGCCTTTCAAGCCCGAATACTCAAACATCTCATGGTCATACGACAACGAACATTTTGCCGCTTGGTGCGAGGGAAGAACGGGCTTTCCCATCGTCGATGCGGCGATGCGACAGCTGAACCATTTGGGATACATGCACAACCGCTGTCGCATGATTGTCGCTTGTTTTCTGGCAAAGGACCTCCTGCTAGACTGGTAAGCTACCCAAGTTAAAGCATTAATGTTTGGGTTGTCTCTCTAACTTCTTCGCAGGCGAAAGGGCGAAAGGTACTTCATGGAGCATCTTGTCGATGGTGACTTTGCTTCAAATAATGGTGGATGGGGTTTCAGCGCCAGTGTTGGCGTTGACCCCCAACCTTACTTCCGCATCTTCAATCCCTTACTACAGAGCGAGAAATTTGACCCTGATGGCGATTACATCCGCAAATGGGTTCCCGAGCTTAAGGATCTTGATAGAAAGGCTATTCATGATCCATACAACCGAGGCGCTGGATCCAAAGCCAAGAAAAACGGCTATCCGGCACCAATTGTTACGCATAAGGATTGTCGGGATCGAGCGTTGGCAGCATACAAGGAAGGCCTTGCAAGCGGCGAGTGATGTAGTGTGGATGCATTCAAACACTTGGCTAATAGTAGTCGCCGGTTCATTTGGATATGTATGAATTTATTAGAGTTGTATAACATACATGTATTAATACCCTAAGGGTTCGGTTTGTTTTCAAGAACTTCTATTGCCTCTATTAGCACCTAGTCCTGAATTTATCGTAAAAATCATCGAGCCTTGATCCGATCAAGTTCTGGTGACGTAGAGTTCATATGCCCAATGGTACTCCACTTCCGTGTTTCCTCTGACCTGAACCGCCCATCGGGAGATGAGCCTCAAGGAAAGAGAAGAGCTTAGATCAGTTCGTTCTCTTGCCCTCAGGCTTGAAAACATCACCATTAACATATGAGCACCTTAATAGCCCTCTTTAGCTGGGGGGACTAATGTGGGATCTACCTATCGAGCCCGACCTTTGTGATCTCGGGGATAGAGGTTGGAGGATGCATTTGGTCTACAATCGCACGTAAGGCTAGGATAGTCACAAGTTGAAAAGTTCATGTTAGACCCGTATCTGTACCATAGCAAAAGACTTGAGCGCCACGGCTTTTTCAAGGCCTAGTCAATCAATCTGCGGCACGGAGACTATCAAAGTAGCCCCAGAATCCTCGGAGTGGTTTGACCTGAGAAGTCTGTCCGAGGAGACTTCGCTTGCCGTATGTCGGAGCATAACCAGTTCATCACATCTTCAAACACATATTCGGGATATCGTAATGTTGTCTCAAAATCGAGCCGAACGCCTCGAAGTGGATTTGCTAGATGCAGCCAACCCTAGTTTCTTTCACCCATTGCCTTCGTGCCCGGACCCAAAACCCTGTAGCCCATTCGTATCAGACTCCCATGTCGAGGAATCTCAGGACCAGTTGTCGAGTAACTTTTTTACCACAGATTGAAATCCTTTATCGCTGTCCGCTCCAGACGCTCTTGAGGAGACCGTCGCGCTGGGCCAGTCGGTTGAGGGAGTCGTCACTCTCGCCCATGGCTCGGACGAAACCGCAGAGGGCGTAGACGTGGTTCTCGCCCTGGATGGCACGGCCGTTCTCGTCAACCTTGGCGATGGAGATCTGGACAGAGCCGTGATCCTTGGCCTTGATGATGCGGTTGGTGGCGCTGCACTTGCGGGGGACGTAACTGGTGATGCCGTATCAGTATCATGAATTTGTTCCTTCGCGCGGCCATATCGAATGTCCTAATGGAAGTCTTACAGGTCCACAATCTCGCCGCGGTCGTTCTCCATTTTGGCTGGTTTGAAGAAGGTGGTTTTGGGTGATCTTGAGAGGTTGTGTCGACGAGAGGTGAAAAGGAAGAGGAGTAGAGTAATTTCTCAATAATCTTTGATTGTGGGTGTGGAGCAAATCCCGGCCCTACCTTCCTCGGACGCCTCTGGTTCGTGGGGTGGGTCCCGGAGACAGTCACGTGAGGTATCAGGTGACAACGCGTACCAGATCGCGAGGCAGGGATTAGCGTCGACTCGGATTTTGGCGAACCCCTTGCGCCTGAAGGCGAACCACTTCTATGGCTCGGATACCAAGATTAGGCGTTCTCAAATCATGACCCCGCCGTTGCTTATTTTCAACGTTTTTCAACCTCGACATCATTCTGCTACAAATATCGGGCCTGAGATGCGCTCTGCGCTCTCGGTCCATAAACTTTAGTTTGAGTGTCATGGTATCCTCTAATGCATTTGGGACTTCGCCACTAGGAGACACAAGACGTCAACCGTTGCACGTCAATTCTTCATCTCCTGACCTCCCATCGCTTCGGGACGTTTTAACGACGAAAACCACATCCCAACCTTCGGTACATAATGGAAGCGGAGCCGCAGCACTTTCGATAGATGGGCCCTCTGGTTTCATCTCTGCTCGCCAACTCTATCCAGCAACAGAATCGGCGCCAAAGGTTGTTTCGACACCATCGACGGGATTGCCTTGGACATTATCCCATCCCGGTGAAGCCACTGGACTCGCAGAAGATGTATCTGGAAACGGTGGATTTATCGCTGGGGACAATGAGCCACCAAAAGAACGAGAGGAACATATAGAGGTGATAAAAATCACGGGCAAGTCGACCAGAAAGCCTCGCCAACAGAAGGTGTCAAATCAAGCTGCGCCTAAACGGACAGCCAAGCCAAAGCCAACGACAAAGAAGCAGTCGAGCAAAGCAGCTAGCAAAGACCATAGCCCTGCAGAGGATAATGATGACAAACAAAAGAAAGTCAAGCCTGCGAAGCCAAGGAAGAAAACCGGTACTATGAGTAGCCACTTTCTACCACCAAAGGAGTCCAAGGATTTGGAAAAGGCGAAACAGATTGATGTGAATGAACCCCTCTATCTGGAACAAGCACCTGCACGGAGATTGGACTGGACCCCTCCAGCTCAAAAGACTATTGTTGATCTTGATTCAGATTCATCTGTTTTCAAAAATCTAGGGTCCTCTGAAGCGGATCAACGTTTGCCTGTCTTCAAGAATCTTGTCGATGGTTATTCTTGCATGGAAGGGCCCAACGAATCGATATCTCACAGCATCACGAATACTTCAGACGAAGACTCCAGTTTCCTTAAGAAACGGAAGCGCATTGAACTTTTAGCGACAAAGGGTACCGATGCACCAGCTATGGCACCTGACAAGTCTCCAACGAAGAAGGCCCCAAAAAAGAAGAAGCCCAGGACCATCACGGAACTTGCAACGGCTGCATACAGAGTGCCTAGTCAGCCAGATACTGAGCCGCCCAACGCTTCTATCCTTGATCATTTCTCCACTACTAACAAGGAAGCGGGGTCTCCGGCTAATGAGCAAACAAAGAATGCTAAGGGCAAAAGCACATCACGACGGAAACCATCAAAAGCCCCTAAAAAGAAAGTGCCCCCAAAGCCCGTGCTGTTGTCACCCAGTGCGGCTCTGGCTCAGGTTGCTAATCAGGACTTTGTTTTTGGTACCTCCAGCCAGCTTGCCAGAGAAGAATCCCCGACTGTCCTCAGGGATCTTCAGACAGCTTTGAGACAGTCGGATCAGAACCACGACATGGATTTCGCGATGCCTTTGAATAGTGATGCGATTGAATCGCCGCAACAACGAAGTAACCTTTGGGATGCAGCTGCTCGTGATGCAGAAGGGGATCTCTTCGATGTCGAAGTAATTAATCTTGCAGACGACACAGGACTCTCAGAGGTTGGTCATGTTTCAAACCCCTTTGGATATCAACTGGGTGCAGACGATTCTGTCATTTGTGTCGAGAGCCGTGTCCTCGATGATCATATTCCACCTGCCAAGCCTCGCAACGATATACCATCGCCTGATGAGAAGGACCTGGTGGACTCCAGAGCTAGTTCCCCGTACTTTTCCGACAGTGAACTGTCAACAAGCACTAATGTCCATCGCCCGCCGCTAGCACAAACAGAAGTTAGCCAGGCAAATCAAATGACGACGGCAGACGAACCTGAGAGCTTGCCCGAGCTCCCAGCACAACCACCTCGACCCAATTATGAAGCGTTCACAGACATTCGCCTGGCAAGAGAAATAAAAAGGTTTGGATTCAAACCTATCAAGCGGAGAAGTGCGATGATTGCACTACTCGACCAATGTTGGCAGAGTAAGACTCGTATGGGCCAGGTCAGCCTCCATACCAGCACCAAGTTATCTTCACCTACCAAAACTACCAGGGCGACACCTCCGGCTACTACTAGTAGTCCAAAGAAACCTAGAGGCAGGCCGCGGAAGAACAGTATTAATGCCCCCGGGCCCCAAGAACCGCCTCCATCTGCTCAACCGCCTGAAACCCCCAAGAAGCCTCGTGGCAGGCCGAGGAAAGACAGTTTGAGTTCGATACCAGGCGCTGCCTCTCCAAGCAAGCCTAAATCAGCGGCGAAACCACAGCGGGTGGTGGCATCACCTCGCCGCAAGAATGCTACTGCTAAATCTGTCATTGAGATCCCTGATTCCGAAGATAACGAGAGCGACGAATTTGCTTCTTCGCCTGATACCAACGCTGAACAGATGTTTTCTTCCCCACCACCATTGGATATGTCTCTTACAACTAACGATGGCACACCGCTCACAGCCACCCAGAGCGATCAAGAGACGCTCTTGTTTGATCACATCACCAATGCTGTTACATCTGCCCCACGCACTACTAACCCGCAAGAGCCATCCTGGCATGAAAAGATATTGATATACGATCCAATTGTTTTAGAAGATCTCGCAGCATGGCTCAATACGGGCGAGCTTAGTCGTGTGGGCTATGATGGAGAGGTCAATCCAAATGATGTCAAGAAATGGTGCGAATCGAAAAGCATATGCTGCCTGTGGCGGATCAGCCTGCGCGGCAAAGAACGGAAGCGATTTTGATACCATCGGATAGCGAGCATGGCGTTATTCTTCGACTCTTCTGAATTACCGGCGTTGTTATCAGCATGGATTTGCATTTACTGGCATAGGTGTTTTCTATACTTCGCAGAGCGCTTGATACCGTTGTCTGGAGTTGTTGTCAAGAGGTGGGGTAGAAACCTGGATGAGACAGTGCTCACTATTTGACTAGACAAGAACGAGCTCAATGTTTATACGGCAACAATGATAAATACAATTTACCATAACGACGAGGCTGCCTTTCCAGGGAGCCAGTTCACATATTTACACTCTGATCCATTCGTCGTCAAGTGCGCCTGCGCGGGTATCAATTTCAATTCCTTCGAGATTCACTTTGTTCCTTTCTTGTTGTTCTGTGCCCCCTGCGTTCCCTGCCCTGCCCAGACGTCAGGCAACTCTTTCGGGCCGTTGAGATAGATTTCCATGGCCCTGCTCGTGTTAGCCTTCGAATGTCAAGCAGATCGGCGCCTCTTACACAGATTCAGGCATGATGTCACTTGGTAATAAGGAAGGGCCTCTCAAGAATGATAAAGCTTATTGAGTACTGTTAGGCCTTTTGTATCGAGTTTCAAACCCATGGGGTCGACTTTGTTATTGAGAGAATGATTCTAGGATGTTGGGTTCGGTGGTGGCTAATTTATATTTCGAACTAGTGGCTTTCACCACAGCGGATTATCTTCTTTCGCTGCAACACAACATCTCCAGTATCCAGCCTCGATAGTTCGATCATCAGCCATGCTACGGGACACCAATGATATCACACCACATCAGTTTTGCGGCTCTGCTCTCCCCAGCTGCTCCAGTAGCTGCTGGGAGAGCACACCATCACGGAAGAAACTGTTGTATCCTATGTATGCTACCGCGGTAGCGTGCAGCTTCTTCCTACATCGGTCTATCCACAAGGCATTGGATGGTGTAGATGGCGCGCCAATGATGGACCTCGGTCCTCCCTTGCGGCGTTGGATAGCCCAATCTGGGGCAGATGAGTCGGTTACGTGGTTGGCGCATCTCGGCCAGGATCCTTATCGGGGAGAAGGACGCGGTGTGTCTCTCGTGACCTCGGGTTGGTAATGGTTGCCGATATTCTGGCAATATTGACCTTTTCTAGCAGATCATGACAGCTCATCCAACATCTCGAATACTGCAGCTAAAGCTCCGGTATCTGTGTCCTGTCGTGGAGCACAATGGAACCAGTGAAACCTGGGCAACAGATTTATCCTTGTGGCTTCATTCGCCAGATTGGGGTCTCCATTGCATGGTCTGGGGAAGTTGTGCTCACAATCGAAAGACTCCCTTGCATTTCGCCATCTGCGTCCAAAGTCATGCCTCACAATTCCTCCAGGCTTTTGGGCGCTCAAACCCCGCCCACGGCCCGGCTTGCCATATTGGAACCTTGAAACTTACATGCATCAAGCCATCCCACACAACCATCCCTCATTAAGCCAGCGAATCAACCATCAAGAATCCTTGGCATCACCACGACCTGACGGCACGGGTTGGCCTTTCCTGCGGGCATTTTTGATCACATTTCATAGTTGTGGCAAGATTGAGGCTCTGCGTCGATTATCTTTCGATTTCGAGATTGGCGCCGCGATCTCACCGAATTTAGCATCTCGAACCGTCATTCACCATGCGCGTTATACAGCTCTTACATGTTCGTCCCTCACTGGTGGAATGTCGAGTGAAGTGGGATGCTTGAACTACGATCCCATACGGAATCGGACCTCCGTGCTGCACCATTGAGCGAGAATCGCGTCTGCGCAAGGGAAAGTGGTATAACACTGGAGCTCATGGTAGCTGAAGGTGTGAGGTCCCTGCGACTGAGCATCACACCAAAGGTTGCGTCGGTGCGTTAGCTCGAAGAGCTAAAGCGACCTGATGGCGGCCATGATCTGAGCCAATATTATAGTGACAACACAGGGAGTATCAGACAAAGGAGCCACATTCCTTTTATCGTGACCTCGCCGGCTTCGATGCGGCCCCTTTGGCCTTTGAGGATGCCCGGCTGTGATTCGCCTCCCGCACCGGAGCTAGTGGGGCCGGTCCGTAACGGTATTTCATGATTATAACGGGCTCCGATATCAATTGTAGAGTATTTCGTCAAGCTATGAAAGAAATGTTGCCTCAAATCAGCAATTGATCGCACTGTGATAGTCATTACGGGAAACCCAAACGAGAACACGTCGATTGGTATCCCACCATCAAAGAGATCAGCTGCCAGTGAAGTCGCAGCCTACCTCAGCGAGATAAGGACCTCCGGACGGACAAAACTGTTATCGCACGTTGGATAAGTTTTGATGTGTTTAATTCCGCTGTCAGGAATCAGTCGCATATTGACGGCCTACGAGATCTGCCAATCGCAGCTCTCAATTGGAGTTACATCACGTCTAATCGGATGTGTCAAGTGATACCAACTATCTGGGTTGCCTTAAACCTTCGATCCCACTATCATGACGTGCGGGAGACGATCCCACGTTGTGAAAGGCGATGAATGCAAGGCAGCCGAGTTGTGATGTATCAGAAATTGTCATCCTTTTAAGAACCCCTTGTGCAAAAGGAGTTGAAGAGAGGACATGCCGGGTTCGTAGGGCTTGTGGTACACAAATGCCGAAGATCTCTGATATTGATAAGCTTGATTTATGAGTGGGTGTTAACTAATTCTTGGCCTGGTTTGAGGATTTGGGTGCATCTTGGCTTATGGGAGTTGCGATGAGACGTCATGCCCATCAGACGCCTCTTGCATGTGAAGATCAACGGTCCACGGATATCCTTGGCTTTACTGAGTTTACTCGAATTAAGTTAAGATTGATAATTAGTCTAGCTCGCTAATCGTTCAAGTCGACAGCGGATTTAGGACGTTACTCTCGCGGAGAGTCCGTCAGTTCAACACAAGCTCGGTGGTAGTCGGTCTCCGTCTTCCATAATTGCTACCAATAGGGCGTACGCATTGACTCATCACTCTTCTAGACTACCACTCACGATATGACTACCTATTTCTCACTGCACTGTGGCCAACAAGCGAGCCCCTCTCCGGTCGGGTCAACGGACAGCCGTGTTGACTGTTGAGGGCAAATGACCTCGTAGAACGGAAGGTTCGGATCGCGAAATTACGAAATGATTCCATAAGTTAGCCTTTATATCGAATTATATCCACCAGCGGAATTAACCATAAGTTGACATCTTATGGTTATTCAGCTCTCAAGAGACAAAAGTGCGGCGACTTATACCAAGTGAAAACGTGCGTAATTCTTTGATGACGACACAGTCGACTCTGAGCTCTGGTGCTAATACCTAACGCGGAATTAGTGCTGACTTTTTTGAAGGATGAATGAATAATCATGGAATGAACCTGTCAAATAAGAGTCTAGAATCTCCCCAAGTCTCTCTCTGTCCGCCACGGAGCCGAGTGAGGTGCTAACCCCGTCTGTCTCCGCCGCCCGCACTATCGCCCTAAATCGAAGAATCACAAGGGCGTGCATCCCCGGAATTTTAGGGGCGTCTAGGGCGTCTGGGCGCTGTCAGCTCGGATCGTTTTCTCAAGTAGTGCCTGCCTTGGCACCAACGCCAGCACCACTTTAGTTGATTTTTAAGGGATCATCAATACGACAAACAACCTACCTCCACTGACCTGCCCTGCCCTGCCCGCCCTGATCAGAAGTGCCCTGGAACTCTGAGCCCCCACCCTCCTCTCACTCCCACCCCTTCCAATCAATCAGTTGAGTCCACCCATCTTCCTCTCCAACTCAATCACAGACCAAACGTTCTGCGTCTTTTCTCACCTTATGTTTCACAACAACAGCCTTCTCAGCCTCTTCTTGGCTTTTTGAGGGCTTCACGACAGGTTCTCTGTCTACAGCTGCATGATTTGACGTTACGCATTTCCTTACCTTGCCCTTCCTTGCATTGCAGTTGAGGTTTGGTTAGCCTGCGTTACCGCACCCCCATCCGTATCGCATCTAACGTTGATGGCTTCGTCCGATTCCGTTCATCCCTTGTCCGAGCCCGAGTCCGCGGATTCTCCGTACATCCTTTGCCTGATCGATTCCACGTTTTTCGAATACCGTAAACAACCTATCGTTGTCGCCATCTTTGACTTGGTCTTACACTCGAGACGATACAGCAATGTCGGGCTACCTCGAGGGCATGGCCCTCGGATTTGGCTTCAATGTATCTGAGGGGCTTGATTCTGCGCAACAGTCCACAGCATCGCCTTCATCCAATACCCAGCAAGATGCTTCGTTCCACACCCAACCGAATTCTTTTCAAGGCAACGTTACTGTCTATCAGACAACAGGGCCCGACGCCCATACAAGCCCAATCCACCTGCCCGGAAGCAATACGCCCGCCCTGAATCCGCGATCATGCGTAACCTGCCGCCGTCGCAAAGTTAGATGCGACAAGCAGATGCCGTGTTCCAACTGTCGTCGAGCACAGATTCCCTGTGTCTTCCCCGCCCCCGGAAGAGCGCCGCGACAGCCGCGTCGAAAAGATCCAAATGCGCCCACCAAGAACTCGAGTCAGCGCGAGATAGAATTGATGAAGAGGCTTAGGAAGTTGGAGGGCATTGTAGAAGAGCTAAGCGGTCAGATTGAGGTTGAGTCTGGCGGTAAAGGCCCCTCATCGACCAATTCACCTGAAGCGCATGCAGGTCAAACCACATCGTTTGACGCCTCGGCGCATAATGCTCAACGGCAATCGCCGAATGCAGGTTCTCACGCAGGCAACATTGGGAGGATTGATGACAGCCCAAGGGGGGGCAGTGATGCTACAAGCGAACAGAGCGAGACTGCTCGCAAGAACATGCATAAAAAGTTTGGACGACTGGTTTTGAGCGACACTGGAGGAAGCCAAAGATACGTTAGTCATGGTTTTTGGTCGAAGCTCAATGATGAGGTTGGTCGGTCCCTGGTATTGTTGCAAATGTTTGACTGACTCTATCTACCAGCTCGATTCAATACGGGAAGAGACTCAGAAGCTTACTGATGAAGACTTGGATGAGTCTGAGGAGGATGAAACTCTAGACACCTCACCCGCATCCGCACTCTCGGGAAACCACAACGCCTGGATATTTGGTTACCGCTCTGCAGACGTGGATCTTGATAAATACTGGCCCCTGCCTTCCCATATACCGTTCCTATGGTCTGTCTATCAGGAGAATGTGGAACCGTTGCTCAAAGTGCTGCACATCCCAACTATGGAGCCCATCTTTCGGGATGCGCGAAAAGATCACAAACAACTGTCTCCTGCAAACGAGGCACTAGTCTGGTCAATATACTATGCTGCACTTACATCCCTGGAGCCTGACGAGGTAAGAAGACACCCTTCACTCTAAGCACGGAAGATGCTAACTCACGAACTCAGGTGCGAGCCAACCTTGGTCTTAACAAGGAGGATGTTGTTGTGCAGTACCGTTTTGCGGTCGAACAAGCCCTTGCCAAAGCCAACTTCCTGAATTCATTAGAGACTCCAATTATGCAAGCGTTGATCATTTTTATTCTCGTGGTTAAGGGCCAAGATGGAAGTCGTTTCTGTTGGTCTTTGACAGGCTTGGTGGCGCACCTTGCTCAAGGCATGGGCCTCCATCGCGATGGGTCGCACTTCGACCTAAGTCCTTTTGAAACGGAGATGCGAAGGCGTCTATGGTGGTCGTTACTTCTATTGGATCTTCGATCGGCCGATGAGCTGGGTACTGATCTTATCATCCAAGA